CTTATTTAGACCTGTGGTTTTTCCCTGTGGTTTTTTTTTTTTTAAGCACAAACATTGTGCAGAAATACATTAAGGCAACATATGGGCCTGTTAGTTAGCCAAAACAATGTGGAACCATGGAGAATAGAGATTGCAAAGCACAGATGGATACTGTAAAAAATTCATGAGTGGCATAACAGATCTAAAAGGTAAATTTTAGTCAAAATTCAAGTGGAAAGCCTGGGAAATACTTAAGAATTTGGCTTTATGAGGTTTTTCAAATCACACAAGATGAAACATTGTGAATATTCCACAGATTTGTTTATGCCATAATGTGAAAATCAGAGCTCATCATTCAAGAATAATTATGTCTATATAGATTCATGCCATCAGAAGTAGATTGCTGATAAACAATAGCGCTTTGCTTCTATTTGATGTAAACGCCGCAGTATTAAATATCCATATTATTTCCAGCTCAATATTAGAAAGTGTCAGTCATTGTGACAAGCCAGGCAAGAGCAGTTCATTGAGCCGTCCTCTGTGTAGCCAAGTGCTGTCGAATAACCAGGTTTTCATGCTGTATTACTTTGTTGTTAAAATTGAATTCTAAGCAGTAAATTGGCAAATCATTTCCCCTTCTTTTGCATTTGGTTCTTTCAACCAAACCCAAAGCCTCAAGGCGACACTGGGTACCTAAGTGAACATAATCAAAACACACCTTGAATTTTGCAGAGCCCTTGTTTTTAGAAGTTGTCATCGCTGTAGCTCATCATTGCTGTCTTGTCTTAGGGGGAAAAAAAACACAACAGTTATGCCTCAAGTCTTTGAGACCAGTCAAATAAAGGTGAGCCTTGGATCTTCATTATCTAGAACTAGTCTCATTCCAAAAACTTCATTCAGAATGATTCATGTCCAAAGAAATTTTACCTAGTGAAATAATTTGGTTCTAAAATTTCCCATGGAATGGGGTGGGGAAGAAGGCAGAAAGAGAAGGAAATTGTCCTATATGTCTAGTTTCTAATTACCTTGAACATAGCAGATAAATGAAAGCAACTTTCTAAGAGACTGTGAAGTTCTAACCGTAGAAGTAATTCCCACTTTGAAGTGTTGTGATTTTTCACTTGAGAATGATGCCATCTGACATTCAGGTATGTTTTCTCATTTTGTTGCTAGAAAGACAAAACATGGAAAGCAATTCTCTGTAAGAAGGTTTAGGTGATGTTCAAAGTGAGTTGCTAGATACTTTAAAATCTTTTTTTATATATATATTTTTTATTTGACAGAGTTATAGACAGTGAGACAGAGAGAAAGGTCTTCCTTCCGTTGGTTCACTCCCCAAATGGCCGCCACAAGCGGCACTGCGCCGATCTGAAGCCAGGATCAGGTACTTCCTCCAGGTCTCCCATGTGGGTGCAGGGCCCAAGGACCTGGGCCATCCTCCACTGCCCTCCTGGGCCACAGCAGAGAGCCGGACTGGAAGAGGAGCAACCGGGACTAGAACCCAGCACCCCAACTGGGACTAGAACCCAGGGTGCCAGTGCCACAGGTGGAGGATTAGCCTAGTGAGCCGTGGTACCGGCCAATACTTTAAAATCTTAAGCACTAGGTAGAGAAGTTGTACTGACCTGGATTTTTTTTTTCCTAATTAATGAGACTATGAATGCAGGAATTTGTAGAGGACTTCATTATACCTTAGAAATCATCATGTGGTACTCAGAAGAAAGATGATGAGATTGAAAGTAGAGACTGTGGACGGAAAGGAAATGAGATCACTTCTTGAATTGGGGTAGTTTTCAATTTTTAAATTGTTCCTTCTCTAGGTAACATAAAACAGAGGGAGGGTTTGTAGTTGGCTTTTCATTCTTGGCACTAACGCCACTGTTGGGACCTTGGAACAGCAAATTGAACTTTCTGATAGTTGTCCTAATAGCTCTTTCAGGCGGTTTTGGGTATCCTCCGTGAATTAAAGTTTGCATTAGTGAACCCACTGAGCAGCGGCCAAGACTAATTCCCAACTCTGTATGACATTTCACACATTGTCAGTTCTCAGTAAGTGTTATACGATAACATTTTGAGATCCTCATCTGAGAGTTGATGGGGAAATATCAAATAGTATATATGAGCTTTGCCAATGAAGTTGAGCCCAATTCAAAAGTGTGTTGTAGAGAATAGGTAAAGATGACAGTGTTTTGTCCCCTTTAAATAAAAGATAGATTCACTCCTAATATTTAACAGTGAGGTCTGACAAAGACAACCAACAAGGACGGAGGTGGGGTTGGGAGGAGGGAGGGAGGGAGGGAGAAAGAAAAGGAATAGGAATAAAGTAGGAGTTATAAAGGGAGAAAACAGAACTATGTTACTTCCTTGCTGTGTCCTCCTTGCCTAGGAGGACATGGCAAATATCAGATATGTTAGAAATGTATATACGTATTTGTGTATATATATCACATACCTTCGTCTACACAGCATGGCTGTGTATGTTTTTATATGTGTAAATTCTCTTAAAATGTAAGCTTCACTGCCACATCTATCCCCAGTACCTTGAGGAATACCTGCAGAGTAGACACTCAATATGTACTTGTTGAATGAATGAATTTCTTAAGAATGTAATTTCCCATATGTTCCCATTTCTGTCTAAGAAATTGCAGATATATTGGCTTCTCTTTAAAAGCGCTAGTTTGCTTACTACTTGGCAACAAGGATTGCTGCAAAAGGAGCACATTGTAGCTTAGGGGTGTGCCATCTGGGCCAGGGGAAGAGAAATGGAAGGGGGTGCCTTTTAAATAAGTAGAATGGATTCATCTTCCTTCCTCTGATGGACAGTCCCAAACCAGTCAGGTCATTTGTTTTAGTCATTGTAAAATATATGCTGTAGTGGAGGAACTAACCAACAATGAACATATTTGACAGAGATTTACTTACTATTATTATAAAACCACTAAAAGTTGTTCATGGCAATCCTGCTTTGCTGTGTTTAGGTGAAAAGCAAGACCACTGGACATTGAAAAACAGGTCAAGGACAATTTTTTGGGCCAGTTGGATTGTCTGAAGAAGTCAGGGACTAAAATTTCAGAACCAGGTAACCAGAGTTCTAAGAAGGGTGTAAACAGCTTATTGATGGCCAAGACTTTGAATCAATTCTCCATGCTGACCATAGCTTTTTGCTTATTTATGAAACTCAGATTATTTAATTTTACTTAATTCATGGACCATGACTAGATCCATTCCAGGAAGATAAAAGATGTGATGGGTTACATGTAACATTGCCTTCTAATTCAACAATTTACCCAAAAATACCTTGCTGAAATTCACAAGAAACAGAATGTACATTCTTATACTGATCCCACCTTGATCCACATCAGAGTAGATAATCTGAATATTAATATTCACTTTATTCATTGTCTCTGGCAAGAAAACATGTGTATGGGGGCTGGCGCTGTGGTGTTGTGGGCTAAGTCTCCGCCTGCAAATCCAGCATCCTATATGGGTGCTGGTTCCTGTCCCAGCTGCTCCTCTTGCAATCCAACTCTGCTATGACCTGGTAGTAGAAGTAGAAGCAGTAGAAGATGGCCCAAGTGCTTGGGCCCCTTTGCCTTCATGGGAGACCCAGAAGAAGCTCCTGACTCCTGCCTTTGGATTGGCCCAGCTCCAGTCATTGAGGGCATTTGGAGAATGAACCAGCATATGAAAGACCTTTCTCTCTGTCTGTCCCTCTCTCTGTATTTTTACCTCTCAATGAAATAAATAAAATCTTTAGGAAAAAAAAAAAAACAACAAACATGTGTACGTGTGTGTGTATGTGTAGTGTATTTATATGAATGTGTGTGTATATATATATATATATATTTATTTTTAAGGAAATATTTAAAAAGAAGTAAATGCACTTTAATTCAACAAACATATTTTGAGCTTTTATTCCTTGCCAGATATTGAGAGATTCACTGGAAGTAAGTAAAGGCTCTCACATACCATTTAGTAAATAGGGGGAAAGCAGACTTTTGAAAATTAATTACTGATGTGATGAGTGTTAAGAGCACTGTGGAAGTTTACAGCAAAGTTAATTAACATAGGTCAAAAACAATCAAGGGAGCAGGCTTTTTGGCTCAGCAGGTTAAGCTGTCCCTCAGAATGCCAGTATCCCATGTCAGAGTACCTGAGATCCAGTCCCAGCTGCTCTGTTTCTGATTCAGCTTCCTGCTCATGTACCAGGGGGAACACCAGCTGATGGCCTAGCACTTGGTCCCCGGTACCCACGTGGGAGACCCTGATACTTCCTAGCTCCTGGCTCTACCCTGACTCAGCTATTGTAGGCATTTGAAGAGTAAACCAGTGGAAGGGTTTCATATATCTATCTCTCCATCTCTTTCTCTCTCTCTGTGACTCTGCCTTTTAATGAACAAATCGTTTAATGACAGGTTTAAGAAAGTTGTAATACAAAGGGTTTTCAAAAACTTCATGGAAAATGTATATATGCATGTATTTCAAAAAATTGTGCCCAAAAATAATCTTATTTTTTATTTAAGGAATATAAACTTCATGTATTTAATTTATACAAATTTGTGAACGTGTGATTCTCCCCTCCACACACCTCCCTTCCACGCATACTCTCATCCTTCTTCCTCCTCCCTCTCCCTTTTCCATTCTTTTTTACAAAGATCTGTTTTTAGTTAATTTTGTACTCATAGGATTAACCCTACACTAAGTGGAGAGTTCACTGAATAGTATGAAGAAACAAGAACAAAAACAAGAATGTTGTTCATCAACAATCAAGACTAGGACTGTTCAAATTCATTGCATCTCAAGGTGTACCTTTTAGATACTCTATTAGTTACCACAGATCAGAGAGACCGTATGGTATTTGTCTTTTTATGACTGGTTTATTTCACTAAGTATAATGGTTTTCAGTTGTATTTATTTTGTTGCAAATGACTAGATTTCTTCCCTCCTCTCTCCTCCCCTCCCCTCCCTTCCCCTCCCCTCCCTTCCCCTCCCCTCCCCTCCCCTCCCCTTCCTTTTCACAGGCAGAGTTAGATAGTGAGAGAGAGAGAGAGAGAGAGAGAGAGAGAGAGAGAAAGGTCTTTCTTTTTCTGTTGGTTCACCCCCCAAGTGGCCACTACGGCCAACATGCTGCGCCGATCCGAAGCCAGGAGCCAGGTGCTTCCTCCTGGTCTCCATGCGGGTGCAGGGCCCAAGGACCTGGGCCATCCTCCACTGCACTCCCGGGCCACAGCAGAGAGCTGGACTGGAAGAGGAGCAACCGGACAGAAGCGCCCCAACCAAAACTAGAACCCCAGGGTGCCAGCACCGCAGGCGGAGGATTAGCCTAGTGAGCTGCGGCACCAGCCTAGATTTCATATTTTATGGCTCTGTAGTATTCTAGAGTATATATACTATAATTTCTTTATCCGATCTTCAGTTAATAGACTTCTGGGTTGATTCCATATCTTAGCTATTATAAATTGAGCTGAAATGAACATGGGAATACAGATCACTCTTTGATATGCTGATTTCATTTCTTTTGGATAAATTTCCAGGAGTGGGATGGCTGGGTATTATGGTAGGTCTATATTCAACTTTATGAGATATCTCCATACTGTCTTCCACAGTGGATGTATGTACCAGTTTACATTCCCACCAGCAGTGGATTAGGGTACTCTTTCCCACACCCTCACTGGCATTTATTGTTTGTTGATTTCTGTATGAAAACCATTCTAACAGGGGTGAAGTGAAACTTCATTGTTTTTTTTTTACATTTTTTTCTTTTTTATGCTTTTATTTTTATTTTTTAGAAAACTTTTATTTAATAAATATAAATTTCAAAAGTACAACTTTTGTATTATAGCGGGTTTTCCCCCCATAACCACCCTCCCACCTGCAAACTCCCTCATTGTAGTCTTGATTTGCATTTCCCTGATGGCTAGTGATCCTGAGCATTTTTTCATGTGTCAGTTGGCCATTTGAATTCCCTCTCTTGAAAAAAATGTCTGTTAAGGTACATTGCTCATTTCTTAACTGGGTTGTTTATTTTGTAGTTGTTGAGTTCCTTGAGCTTCTTAATCCTTTATCAGTTTGCATAGTTTACAAATATTTTTTTCCATTCTGTCAGTTGCCTCCTCACTTTGCTCTTTTCTTTTGCAGGGAAGAAGCCTCTCAGTTTGATGTAGTCCCATTTGTTAATTTGGCTTTGATTGCCTGTGCGTCTAGGGTCTTTTCCAAGAAGTGTTTCTCTGTGCCAAAATCTTATAGGGCTTCCCCAGCGTTCTCTAATAATTTGCTGGTATTGGGTTGTAGATTTAGGTCTTTAACCCATTTTGAGTGGATTTCTTTGTAAGGTGTAAGGTAGAGATCTCATTTCATACTTTTGTATGCAGGGATCCAGTTTTCCCAGCACCATTTGTTGAAGAGACTGTCTTAGCTTCAGGGATTGTTTTTTGCTCTTTTGTCAAGATAAATTGGTCGTAGAAGCATGGATTGATTTCTGGAGTTTCTGTTCTATTCCATTGGTCTACATATCTGTTTTTGTACCAGTACCAAACTGTTTTAATTATAACTACCCTGTAGTATGTCTTGAGATCTGGTACTGTGATGCCTCCAGCTTTGTTTTGGTTGTTTAAGATTGCTTTAGCTACTCACGGTCTCTTGTGTTTCCATGTGAATTGTAGCATCATTTCTTTTTAGATCTGAGAAGAATGTCATTGGTATTTTGATGGGGATCACATTGAATCTGTAAATTGCTTTTGGTAGTATGGAAATTTCGATGATATTGATTCTTCCAATCCATGAACATGGAAGATTTTTTCACTGTTTTATGCCCTCTTCTATTTCTTTCTTTAGTGTTTTGTTTTGTTTTGTTTTGTTTTTTTCTGACAGGCAGAGTGGACAGTGAGAGAGAGAGACAGAGAGAAAGGTCTTCCTTTGCCGTTGGTTCACCCTCCAATGGCCGCCGCGGCCAGCGCACTGCGGCTGGCACACCGTGCTGATCCGATGGCAGGAGCCAGGTACTTCTCCTGGTCTCCCATGGGGTGCAGGGCCCAAGTACTTGGGCCATCCTCCACTGCACTCCCAGGCCACAGCAGAGAGCTGGCCTAGAAGAGGGGCAACCGGGACAGAATCCAGCGCCCCGACCGGGACTAGAACCCGGTATGCTGGCGCCGCAGGAAGATTAGCCTATTAAGCCACAGTGCCAGCCCACATAACTCTTTCAAAAAGATTTTTTTCTTTGGGGCCAGCACTATGGTACAGTGGGTTAAAACCCTGGCCTGAAGCACCAGCATCCCATATGGGTGCTGGTTCTAGTCCCTGCTTTTCCTCTTCCAAGCCAGCTCTCTGCTATGGCCTGGGAAAGCAGTAGAAGATGGCCCAAGTTCTTGGGCCCCTGCACCCATATGGGAGACCCAGAAGAAGCTCCTGGATCCTGAATTTAGATCGGCTCAGATCTGGCCATTGCAACCATCTGGGTAGTGAACCAGCAGATGGAAGATGTCTTTCTCTCTGTCTCTACCTCTCTCTGTAACTCTGTCTTTCAAACAAATAAAATAAATCTTTTTAAAAAAGATTGTTTTGAGAGAAAGAAATAGAGAGGGAGAATGCATGCAAGCGCTAGCTCCTGTCCATTAGTTCATTCCCCACATGACTGCAACAACTGGGGTTGGGTTGGACAAAGCTGAGAGCAGGGAGCCCAGTGCTGTTCTTCCACACAGATGTCAAGATCCCAAGCACTTGAGCTGTCACGACATCCTCCCAGTATCTGCACTAGCAGGAAGCTGGATTCCAGAGCTGGAACCAGGAGTTGAGCCAGGCATTTGGGTGTGGCACACTGGTGTGTCATCCAGTTTCTTAACCACTATGCCAAAATCTTATTTCATTTTTCCATGAATCTTTCTGAAGTACCCTTGTACTGAATGCTCTGATTCATACATAAAATCTTAGAGTTGATCTCACAGAGGTAGTGAGTATAATAATGATCTCTAGACATTAGGAAGGGCAAGGGAAAGGAGACTGGAGAAAGGTTGGATAAGGAGTACCTAAACAGTTAGGAGTTAGTTCCAGAGTAGGTTAGCACAGTAGGTATTTATTATCTACTGCTAATTATCCTGATTTGGTCATTAGGCACTGTATGCATGTATCAGATGATCATACTGCATCCCATAAATATATACAGGTATTATTTGTCCATTATAAACAGTTTCGTAAAACTTGCGATGTAATGAGAGTGATTTAAAAATAAGCTAACCTATCTCCCACCTTCCCTCTCTCCCTTCTTTCCACAATTGAATACTTAACAGATAGTAATTGAGCGTCAGTTCTATATCAGGCAGTGTACTCAAGTCTGGCGAATACAAACAACAAGCACAGTTCCCCATGAAGGAGACAAAATAATTCACTAAACTATCACAGGTGGAAATAAAAACTCTACCAAATACACCCAAGGAGAGGCAAATAGTGCCACTGGAGCATGGGTTGACTTGACCTAGTTTGGAAGGTTAGGTTTCCTTGAGAAAGTGATACTTGAGCTGAAATCTAAAGGATAAATCAGAGTTAACCAGGACCCTGGGAAGAGTAGAGTACCTGAGGCAAAGAAAATGTGCCAGGGCAAGGGGACAGGAGGACACGTAATAGGTAGAGAGCATTGAAAGAAGGTGAAAGTGGCTGGAGTCGAGAGAACAAGAGGGCTGGGGCGAGAGCTTTGTGAGGATACCCCCGTGGGACCATGAGGGCCAGGTTTCAGTTCCAGACTGATGGCAAGGATTCTCTTCAAGGGTTTTCTGCAGAGGTGATATGGTCAAATGCAGCTAGTTGGGCGTAAGCCAAGAGCTTGGAGCCTTAGGGATAAGGCTTTTGGTTATCGAGGCAGTACATGATAGTTGCTTGGAGCCTGGGTGGAGAACAGAGCAGGAACAGGGAACTGACCCTAGAGATACTTAAAGAACATAATTTATGGTTGACTGGAGTAGGGGACGAGAGGAAAAGAGTCATGGCTGATGCTTGCATTGTCATTCAGGTGGCTAAAAGGGGTGATACCAGTACGTGGGAGAGGGGATATTGGAGGAAGAATTAGCGTGGGAATAGCGAATTGGCTTTAGGGGGCATTGAGTTTGAAGTGTCTGAGCCATGAAGTGCAGGAGAGGGTAGTTGGACATAGAGGCCTGTAGCTTGCAAGGAAGATTGAGAGATTGAGAAATGCAGGCACAGCAGCTCGGAGACGGGGGAAGAATGAAGGACTGGTCATAACCAGAGAAGAGACGGCACTTTTGAGTGATATGGAAGGGCTGAGTAGGAAGAAACCTCAGAAGTAAGACACATGTCCGATGAAAACCAGGAAAGAATGATGTCAGCACTGTAGAAGCCAAGAGAAAGGGTTTCAAGAAATGGGCGAATAAACAGTGTCAAATGCTGTTGGAAATTAAGTAGGACAAGGGCTGGAAACAGCTGTTGAACCAAGAGGAAGGTAGGGAGAACATGGTGGGAATATTTCTGGTGGAGTGAATAATAGGCAAGACATGTTCTTGGAGTGGATCGAAGGGCCCATAGAAGAAAACACAGGACATTTGTCACTCAGAGAGTTTGTGTTAAAGTGGATAAGCAAGGTAGGATTCTATCTGGAAGAAGATAAGGAGTTGAAAAGAGCTGTTCTAGAGTACCAGGCATTGGTGAATGAGTTGTATATGATTGCCAGCAACACGTAGCTACCTATGGGTGTCTTTATTGTTTATTTCATATAAGAAGAGTGGAGATGAATTGATGCTGCGAGTAGCTCAAAAAATAACTCAGCCACTTTCCCACTGCTCTTTCCGCTTATTGGTGGTTTGTCCTTGTGGTTGACATATGTGATGGGCAGTAAAGGCTTCTTCAGTTCCACACAACCCCATTCAAAGCAACAGTAAGGGGGTATGATCCTTTCTCTCTATCTTTCTGTTGGAAAGCAAAATTCTTTCCCAGACTTTTCCTCACCCCTACTCCTTCAGCCTTCTTCTTAGGGTCTAGGTAGGCAGGACTAAGTTATTTTCCCATTTCCAGATGAACCACTGGCAAGGGTGAATGCAGTTACCAAGCATAGTTTGGTCCAGGCGTTCTTAAAGAGTGGTCTCTAACCCAACCACATCGGCACTTCCTGGAAACTCATTAGAAAAAGAAATTCTTGGGCTCCATCCCAGTCACACTGAGTCAGAAACCCTGGACTGGGACTGAGAAGCCTATTTTAAGTCCTCCAGGCAAATCTGATGCATTTTCAGCTTAGAGAACCATGGGTTTCAACTACTTAAGTCATGGTGTGGTGCTAGGAAGAGGAATTAGTGTTCAAGGAGCTTCTATCTTACGAAGGCTGGGCCATGGTTGCTGGCGGACATGGGGAAGTGTCTGCCACCACTAGCTGTATTTCAGCATTGATAGGAATGGGTCACTAAAGACAGAGAATGACGAGAAGAAAAGGATTGAGAAAGGAGAGTGAGTGGGGGAGATTTGAAGACTCAGTGGAGGGAGCCTGAAGAAGCAGCCAGGGGAGGGAGTGGGAAATTTGGGAAGTCCCTTCTGTTGGTCTCTGGGAGCAGAGATAAGTTGTCTGCTGAGAGAGAGTAGGAGGGGCTGAGGGAAGGAGGAAGGGAAGGGGGAGAGAGAGAGAGAAAGGGAGAAGGGGAGGTGGAAGAGGATGCTTGCTTAAGATCTAAGATTGCAGAGACCTTTTAAATACTTGTGAGGAAGAGGAGGGCTTAGTGATCTGAAACCCTGCAATGTAAGTGTGAAGCTGCCTGCATAGGTAAACCTGAGTTTATAGTGGGCTAACCTGCCTGGTTGTGTGACGTGCAGCATACAGGGTAAGGCATGGAGCTCACAGGTGGTTTGATTCCGCTAAGTCTGAGGCTTTGTCAGAAGAGTGTGACCGAAGGTCATGGGCAAGGGTATTTAGGATGTGGATAAGGAAAAGGTAGAAATGATGGACCAGAGAGTTCATTCTGAAATCGGAGTTGAAGTGAAGATGCAATAGAGGAGAGGGTTAGTCCACGGGCCACAGTCACGATGCTGTCTTCCGCTTATAAATCAGGGGCGAACCAGTCCAGAATGTGACTTCTATTGTGTCTTCCTCACTCTATCATGGGAATTGTGAGGTTTATTACGGCAGCTTTTTCCTTATCACTCAGTTGTAGGACATTATGCAGGAAAACAAGCCAGAGGCTGTTATTTGGCTTACTTGGACTGCTTTTTGACCGGTTCTCTTTTTTTTTACTGATAATACTTTCTACAGACATGATTTTATAAGCCTTACACAAATCTTGCTAAGTCATATGTGTAATGTAACAAGCAAGACTGCATTTCATCCGGAAGAATTTGTCATGTCCCTACCCTCGCAGAGAAACAGTTGTAATGTTCTAATGCACTTGATATCTTGAAAGATATTAACATTTTACATCAGTAGAAATAATCTCCTCAAAGCTATTGAAGGGAGGGACGTTGTTTGGAACAATGTTATTCTTCTTCCTTACCTACATGCAAACCAGCCTCGATGTGGTCCACATGGAGCTTGGAGCCTGTTCTTTCTGCCACCTGACATGTTCTTTCTAAGGTTGTCCTTAAAAACGACACACCACCTGAAATCACATGTTTTGAAAATAATTATGTATACAGGATTCTTGCTACAAACACCCTAAAGTGAGTCCCACAGGTAGAAAGGTATTAACCTATATTTCAGATTATCCATCAGCGATGTTTTTTATGTTCCCCATTGCATCTAGTGCTGAAGTATCACCCTGTCCATATACGTTACTAAGGAAAATCAGACATCAACATCAGGACACCCAGGATGTGAGTAGGGCAGAGTGAGAGTCTGTTTCTTTGAAGAGCCAAGTACTTTGAGCATCAGCAAAATTGTTGGAGCGTAAGTTCCACAAGGATAATGCTTCTGCTCACTTGTCCACAGCTGTGGTCCCTGTGCTCAGAACAAGACCTAGAACATGTGGATGCCCAAGTAATTTTCAGATGTTTTGTTGTAGTTTTTATGTCACAAGTGAGTTCCATTTAATAGGATGAAGAATTTGTGGGCTCAGTTCCATTACATGATAACTTAGAATCCACCTGAAGACTTCCAAAGAGCCTATCATTCAGTAGGGAGATGGCTTTTGCCATAAGACACAGAGAGCAAGTGCCAGGAGGTGTGCAAGTGCATGGATGTTAAAGTTGGGTAGGGCAGGATTCTATTCTCCCATTATACCACTTGCTAACTATAATTACGTGGAAGCATTTTTAAAATATCTTTACATTTTGGTGTCCTGCATCTATAAAATAGTAATAATAATTTCATCATATATTAGATTGAATGAAATATGACACGTAAAGTCCTTAGCACAGTGCTTGGCACATAGTAAGCTATTAGCTGTGATTACCAGCTATAATTAGTTCTTAAAATCTGCAACACAAATTTGTTTATAGATGTATATAAATCCATAGCAGTGTTTGCTGGTGCTAAATTCAAATAAACTAGTGTAAATTACAAGGTTGCTAATGTCAGACATTAATGTTCATTACAGATTAAAGCATGGAAATCTTCCCTCGTGCAGCAATCCATTTCGTCTGGTTGATTAGGAGATGTTCCCTTCTGAAAATCATCCGTTCACATTTTAAGTGTATGTTTACAGGTGTTTGCGCTAGGCCAATCCTGAGATGAGTGGTGGACTTCAAACCCCGCTATCTGTTGGCAAAAATGTCCTTTCCTTGAATCCCTTGAGGACTGTAATTGTCATTGATTCATACAAGATGAGCAATCTTCTGTTCAGTCTCTGTCTTTGGCTTTGGTATTTTCAATTATCAGTTAGCCCTCACATAGGAAATACTAACTCTCTAAGTAGTAAGATTGGTTGTGTAGATTTTTTTAAAGGAATACTTGTAAAATAACTATTTAGAGGTGGAAACTAAGGTGGTGAAGAACTTGGGAATCCCATCTTTTTACTATTTGTTGGGGAAACCACACAAGGGTGAACTAGAAGAGAAAACGCAAGACTTAATGAAAATATGAAAGTGACTCTCAGTCATTTAAAAGCATGTCATGCAGAAGAGGCCAACCTGGCACACTGATATTTAGAAAGAAGAGATTAAACAGAAAACAGGTAGGTGTTAACCAATGTCACACTTTGGTATAAGCCAAATGAACCAGCATCTGTATAGTACATACAAATGTTCTCAGATACCAGGAACACTAACTATTCTTCCCAAGCTACCATAGCTAGTGAGGGATAGGATCACAAACAGCATGTTTTGACATAAATCTAGAATATTTAACCCTAAGGGGACTGTTTAACACTGTACTAACTCTATCTCTACAGCTGGTTAGGGGCTTCTGATGTCAAACTCAAGTCCAAGGATCCAGTTGTCTTTGGGAAATTTTATTTTTATTCAATTCCACAACTATACCCAATGCTTTAGTCTTGGCTGCTGATTGAAACAGGGTAAAGAGTATAGGGAGGGGCTGGTGCTGTGGTGCAACAGGTTAACACTCTGGCCTGAAGTGCCGGCATCCCATATGGGCGCTGCTTCAAGACCCGGCTGCTCTACTTCCAATCCAGTTCTCTGCTGTGGCCTGGGAAAGCAGTAGAAGATGGCCCAAGTCCTTGGGCCCCTGTACCCACGTGGGAGACCCAGAGGAAGCTCCTGGCTCCTGGCTTCGGATTGATGCAGCTCCAGCTGTCGCAGCCAACTGGGGAGTGAACCAGCGAATGGAAGACACCACCCCCCCCCACCCACCGCGTGCCTCTCCTCTCTATGTGTAACTCTGTCAAATAAATAAATAAATCTTTTTTTAAAAAAAGAGTATGGATCTCTTAGCACTAAGACAAAACAATTCAAGGGATAGTTTCTTTTGACTGTAAGTCAATGATGTCATCTGATTTTAGAGTAACTTGTGAAAAGTTTCCCCCGTAACCCCATGTTTTTGAATGTGATCTGATCTCTACATATGAGCATGAGCAGTGAGCAAGTTCGAAAGATTTTACTTAAAGAAATGGAACTAAAAACATTCTTGAAATAACCACCAGAAAGCGATTCTGAGAGATAACAAATTTAATTAGGAATACACATTGCAGTGGGAATATGCATACCATAGTAAACTAGAGGGCATATTCAATGAGACCAAAAGAGACATGGTTTTAAAGATAAAGTTGGGAGGGTTAAGTAACCCATTTTGAAGCGATAATCCCTGCTTATGAGGATCAGTAACAAAGGTGGTATCAGTCCAAAACTGGACAAGCAGTTTCTGGGCAGATGTCCTCATAGAAGTGTTGTTTGTATCCAGTTGCAGTGGTCCTTATACAACATTATGGTTCTGGCAAAATGTCTTAGGATACTTGCTATTATCAGAGATACATGCATGAGATTTCCCCTCATCCCACCCTAAAGACCTCCTGACTTTATTCATTTATTTTAGTTAGAGGTCAACTCAATTGACTCCATTTTGATGTTGACAACTTGCCTGTGATGTGCTGCCTGACCTTCTCCTCCTTTAAGGAATTTGCTCCAAACTATTTCTTTCTCCATGCTTCTATACAGAAAATTGCAAAGCTAGAATTTCTTCCTTATTGCAGAGGCCCTTGGAAGCTGACAAAAGAGTGTGAGGACAGAATGAAGCTAAGTGTTCTCTGCAGAGTAATGGTTCATCTGGTCAGCTCATTGTGAGTAAGATCACTCCATCGTTTAGATACACAGGGTTGCTGCCAGCATCATTTATGGACTTTTGGCTTAGAAAATTGCACCATAATCTGAGTGGGTATCCTAAAGACCCTGCACGTAAATTTGTCAAGCAGATGTGGCTTGATCAGGATTGCAAAATTGGGAATGGGGGGATGTCATTGTTCTTGCAAGCTCACAGAGCAGCTCAAGGTCAAAATCCATTGGTACAGGATTCAAAGCAAATGTAGTCTCTTGTTTCTACTTTCCCATTCCTCCCTCCATCCTATCCTTTATTTTTAAGATTTACTTATTTATTTGAAAGGCAGAGTTACAGAGAGTGAGAGGGAGAAACCGATCTTCCAGCTGCTGGTTCACTCCCCAAGTGGCTGCAATGGCAAGTGCTGGATTGGGCCAAAGCCAGGAGCCTGGAAATCTATCTGGGTCTCCCACATGGGTAGCAGGGGCCCAAACACTTGAGCTATCATCTGCTGCTTTCCTGGGTGCACTACCAGGGAGCTGTATTGGAACTGGAGCAGCCAGGACTTGGATGGGCACTCCTACGGGCATTGCAGGCTGCACCACAATGCGAGCCCCTCCCTCCCTCCTTTCTATCTGAAGAAAAGAGTGAAATGTTTCCCAGGAGAAAAGCATGATTGGTAGGTTCTATGTGTCTGTGATTTGCTAACAGTCACATAGAACATTTGTGGAATCCTTAGGTGCTTGTCTTACAGTGGTCTCCCTCTAGAATTTGTTGAGCTCTGTAAAGCAGGGGAGACCCCAGCAGAGCTTGTGTTATGGAGTGATTCCAGTAGGAGTCTTCTTTCTCCCCTCTCCCAACCATGCTCCCACGCCTTGGGCCGTGTGTATGTTTGGGGAGGGGGGTGTCTGTACTATGACAAGACGACCCTTCTTAGCTCACTCTTTTGAAAGCACCAATTTGCTGACACTTTGATATTATCCCAGGGACATAAGTCAGGCAGTGCAATTGCCATCAGATTTCCGCAGTCACGAAGGTGAGCACTCGGGGAAGGTTGTAGGTTTACATTTGATTTCCACATCTATCTTCTCCCTGCAAATTAAATTATTAATTTTCCCACGTGCCTTCTTGTTTAATGAGAAGAGTGGTGGCCTTGATCTGTGCATGTGTGCAAACAAAACATCACAGCAGGGGTGCCTGAACTGCCCAGACAAGCTGAGGGGTTAAGCAGTCAGATGCAACTGTCTTGGTACAGCCTGTGTCGTTTGCAAGAGACTGGCTGGCAGTTGGCATCATAAACATGGCAGGACGTGGGCTCCACGGCTCTTCCCCATGTACGAATTCAAAGATGAAAGCTCCTTTTATGAATGCAAAGGAAAGATCAAAAGAAGGAGAAATAATGGCATTTAAAATGCACATGTGAGATGCAAAATTATAATATGATTGTTTTTCCAGGTTCCATTACAGTGGTGCTATTTTCTGAGATGCTACAGTGTTGGTTGATTACTTTTCCATGTTTGAGATAATAAATGCTCACATCAACATGATTGTAGATTTGTTACCATATGACTTCTACCACATATGGCTTTTCCAGCTTTTCACAGGAACATCTTACTCATTAAATATGAGTATTAACTTTCCCTAGTCTAGTATTCTGAATACCAGAGCCTGGTTCCCATTTGACGAAAGGATGACATATATCCATGTGAGTTATTTATTAATAGAAATCATTTAAATATGCAAATTTTACATATTAGCTTTTTGTTTAGGGTCAATAATTACCTTTTGTTTTATTTCATGTTAATTGAATATTGGGATTTCTGTCATATCTCAAGCAACGTAACTACTATATCTTGATTTTTTTTAAAAAATGTATTTATTTTATTTGAAAGAGTTACACAGAGAGAGAAGGAAAGGCAGAGAGAGAGAGAGAAAGGTCTTCCATCTGCTGGTTCACTCCCCAGATGGCCACAAAAGCTGGAGCTGTGCCCATCCCAAGTCAGGAGCCAGGAGCTTCTTCCAGGTCTCCCACATAGGTGCAGGGGTCCAAGGACTTGGGCCATATTCCACTACTTTCTCAGGCCATAGCAGAGAACTGGGTTGGAAGTGGAGCAGCCAGGACTCAAACCGGTACCCAATGGGATGCTGGCACTTAAGGTGGCAGTTTTACCTGCTATACCACAGTGCCAGCCCCTATATCTTGATTTTTTTTAAAAGACTTATTTATTTATCTGAAAATCAGAATTACAGAGAAAGAGAATCAGATTTTTGATCCACTGGTTCATTCCCCATATGACTGCAATGGCCAGGGCTGGCCAGTCTGAAGCCAGGAGCCAGGAGCTTGATCCAGGTCTCCCACATCAGTGGCAGGAGCCCAAATACTTGAATCATCTTCTGCTTTTCCCAGACCATTAGCAGTGAGCTGGATGGGAAGTGGAGCAGCCGGGACACAAACTGGCACTTGTGTAGCTTGATATTAGAGTGTTGGGTTTATGGCTTTATGACATGATCAAATTCCACCTTAGTGATTACAGAGGATTTCAGATTGTTATTTAAAAGATTTGTTAGCACTTGTCTTTGTTTTATAAAGGTCAATATCTTCTTTGAGGATCTCAAGTTCGCCTTTTCTCAATAAGTGGTAGTGATATATTCATTTATTGAAATTAAATTAGAACTTCAAAGTTAAGCTGAATGAAGACATAATTTTGGTGATTCTTTATGATAACTTAAAAGCTGTATATAGCTCCCAGATCAAGAATATTATCATCTCTTTGGGTCCCCACCACATCTCCTACTTATTAGTTATTCCAGAGGGGGAAAAATACAATTTTCTGAGTCACTGTACAATCTAGGCACAGAACGGTATCACTCAGCAGTCTATGTGAAAAGTATTGATCTCTCTGATCACTGTAGCATTTTAAATATCTCTCATTCATAATATGGTATATAATGTATCATTTTATTTTTGAGAACTTATGAAATTATTTCTTTAAAAATTAAGAAAGATAAGATCACTCAGGAGAAAATTACTTTTCTTGTTTAAGTACATCTAAATCATTTATAAAGGGAAAAAATATTCAAAGAACTCCCAGCTCTACCCATTCCCACTGGGTAGAAGGAGACAATCTTTCAGTTATAATTATAGTTTCTAATAAAAGGAGAAAGTTTGTACAGTATTTTTATAATAAATTTCTTTGGGAAAAATTGACTTCCATGTAGTAAAACATTTCTGTACATTTGGTTTGTGATGCTGTTAAATGCAATGAAATGTACATCTATTTATACAGCTTGTGGGCACTTATTAGTTGGTTCTGTGTGCATTTCATGAAAGAATATCTGGCCTTAATCACTTGTATTTTCATAGGACAAGTATCAGGAAAATCCCACACTTAATTGCAAATATGTGAAATTACAATCTCCAGGCAAATGGCTTGTGAAACCTTTGGCTGGTTTGCAATAACCTTTGCTAAGTCTCAGTATAGTTTATTAAAAGTACCATGTTGGCTCCACTTTGAACTGCAGCCTCATTTTTCACGTTCTGTTTCAAAGGAGCCCTCTGCTGGACAGCTCTGCATGATATCATATGCACACACATATTTATATTTGATTTATAGGCTATAGTTAATATAACCCAAAAGCCATTTGTGATTGAAACTCTATCGTTGCAAATTGAATGCATCGCTGAAACCTGTTTTGTCATCACTTTTTCGTATTTAATGAACATGCAATTGTCTAAAAATAAAATGTTCATCCTTAAAGTTTACTGTAAATCACTGTACATCAGCATATTCCCACACATGAGATAATCGTACTAAATTAACATTCATTACCAATAATTTTAGTAATGAATTATTCAGCTGATATGCAATTATCACACACATTTCTAAAGCAATTACTTTATTACATAGGTATTCCATGCCATTGATTATACTTGTCTGTATTGCGTATGTAAATGCAAGGAATCTTTGCACTGACCATAGTTTCAGATGCAAGCTTTTTTTTAAAAACTGTTCATTTCTTCAGTGTCATCAGGTTGTGAAGGTATATGGCTAGGATTAACTACATTTTAGGAAACTTGTGGATACCAAAAAATTGCTGTGATAAAATCAGACAAAACCTTAAAAAAATTGTAGCGTGAAGTTACAGAAATAGATGGTTTTCTAAGTGATTTATCAGTAGGCACATATCATCATCATTGTGTTTTAAGAGATATTACTCTAGGGACCTGCACCATGGCAAAGTGGGTGGAGCCACCGCCTGCAGTACCAGCATCCCATATGGGTGCCGATTTGATTCCCAGCTGCTCCATTTCTTTCTGGGAAGGCAATGGAGGATGACCCATGTGCTTGGGCCCCTGCACTCTTGTGGGAGACCCAGAGGAGGCTCCTGAATCCGGACCAGCTCAGCTCTGGCCATTGGGACTATTTGGGGAGTGAACCAGCAGATGGAAGATCTCTCTCTGTCTTTGTCTCTCCCTCTCTCACTATCTCTGTAACTCTTTCAAATAAATAAGTCTTTAAAAAATAAATAAATGCAAGCTATTCAGAAACTGATAAATGATAACTTCAATTATAGTCTCATCCATATTTAGCCTTAGTTATAAGACAGTGAAGGGAGACCACATAGCATCATGGAACAGTCTTTCCAGCTGGAGAGACTGAGTTCAAATCTTGCCTTTGTGGCTCTGATTTGCCTGACCTCGTCTTCAGACAGAGGGCAGTGAAGCAATCAGAGAGCACTGTGGTGAGGGTTATTAACATGTGTCGAGAGCCCAGCACCGCAACCAGGTAACTGTGTAACATGCCGCTGGAATGTTCTCCATGCCTCTGCAGGTAACTGTTTATTAGAGCAGGTGTACGTTGCTTATGTAAGCAAGTAGCCACCAAGATTTAACTGTTCTTCGATGCAATTTATGTGTAGCAGGTTAAGTATAGTGAGATGGAAGTCATGAATAGTATGTGAGAAGTTGTAGGCAACGTCTCAGCTTGCAAACTTTAGAGTTAAACCTGATTTGTCAAAGCCTGGAGAAGGCCATTCCTCTGAAATGGCTGAAGCAATGGGAGCCATCAAAGCTGTGTTCAGTGCAAGCAGATCTTTCAAAAAATTATGTTGAAAGTGAAAAATTATTGTTTTAGAACGTTTTAGTGTAACAGTCATCTCATTTCCATGGCTGAAGTGAACTAGAACGAGGAATGGCAGGACTGAGAAAGCATCGTTAGGTCAGTCCTCACTGGTTCTGTCTTGGATTATGCACCCATTAGGATTTACGTCACAGAAAGTTGATTCTTTTGAACATCTGTAAGGAAATTCTGTAGCTTGGCAGTAGCTTACGTGTGTGTGTATATTTTCACAGAAGTGTAAACAAGGACCCAGAATATAGTGTCAGTTGAGTGAATTTTGTTTGAATAAACAAAAGAATAAACAGAGCATTCTTTTGTCAAGTGGCAAATGTTAGAATATTCTTCAGTAGATGATGAGCCAAGTTAGACTCTTCATAGGAGGAAGACCCTCAGTACAAAGCCTTTGACTTAAATAGTTTGGGGGGATGGGGACCTATATACATATCAGCAGCCAAAATGCTTTAAAGGTCAAATTCAGGTGAATAGATGTGCCCACATATAGAAAATGTAACAAATATAATTTAATGATCCAGATATCTCAGAAATCTGCAAAAAGTTGTGAGTCAAGAAACATTAATTTATTTGAACACATTGACTAAATAAATATACAGTTATGTGTCCAGTGCTTTGTTGGATACTCTGAGGGATATAATGAAGAATAAGACTCATTTTTTTTTTTGCCTTAAAGGAGCTTGTAGTCCTTTTAGGGGAAAATATAAATTACTGTGATTAATAAATTCCTAGTGTTGTGGGTCAAAGCATTGTGGGATGGTGTCTACCCAGAAGGCAACATGGAAGTTGTAGATCTTTAATTGGACATATAGTTTAAGCATTGGGCATTTTGGGCATTTTATACAAATGGGCATTGAGCATGTTATAATGCTTGTGGGACCTATGAAGTATTTATCCTCTGTGAAATCCATCAATCATAACCTGGCATCCATCGTTGGTGGTTCAGGTGTCAAACGTGAGGGGCTAGATCAAAGGGCAAAACCTGGTCAAGTAAGTTTTGGTAAAAAGTTTTGAATTTGATGAGCCTGACCCAACTTAGATTTAATAGTTGTAATAGTTTCAAAAAATTCTAAAAATTTAATAAAATATCTTATCAAAATAAAATAATGTTCATGACACTTCAGTTTTCTGTTTTCCAAATGTTCTGGCATCATCCTGTACTTCAGACCCGAGTTAAGGATTTAGGATTTTAGAAAGTCTTATCTCTGATACTCTACAAAGGTGTATTAATTTTTAAATACTTTTTGGTAATTTGCTATTTAGCTATGTTAAATATTATAGAATTCTGGATTTATGTCAAATGAAATGAGTTCTTTTGCCACCATTTGTGTTACATGATTAGATACTAGATAATACAGCATCTAATGTGCTTCCAGCTAGGCGATGCCTTAGGTCAAGGACAACATAAGTTGGATTTGTTTACGCAAAGGTGGAGGCAGGTAAATGAACATGACCGAAAGTGAGTGAGAGTGATTTTGTTAAAGAACATATTCAAACTTACCCGATGCGGCATTAGCTCATCCTTTCCAGTAAATGTAATGTCAACAATTGCCAGTGTATATAGTGTTAGTCAACCCAAGTCACAGTCATCTTCATCTTTACCCCCCATTTCCATGGGTATTGTATAGAGAAGAAGCCTTTCTCCCTCCTCTACTTCACACCGACCCCCGTGTCTCTGAGGCCTCTCAGACACGACAGGATGGCCTACCATGGGGCCGCTGTGTCTGAGAGAAGAGGCTAGTTCCTCAGGACAGTAAGCACACAGTAGATCCGACAAGGCAGGTGTGGCTGGGACCAGCTCATTTCTCTGTAGCCACGCAGTTGGCAGTGTGCCTGGAGTGGAGGCTCCTTAGAGAAAGGGAGGAGTGGAAAGAAGCATGAAAAATGGATGCTATAGAGAGATGACTCCCTTCTTGTGGGTGTTGTGTCCCATTATGCTGCCAGGTCTCCTGCTGACTACTTACTGGATGCCTGCAACTGTTACCCCTAAGTAGGATAAACTGATCAGAGGCGTGAGCTTTCAGAAGGGCTTCAACGGATACATAGATTTAAAGAAGCAAAATCTGTAATAGCTAACTAAGCAGATCAAGGAGCACATGTGGCACATTTAAGGCACTATCCTGGAAAGATTATCTACTTACTGAGCAACTGTGGTATGTGCATGTGTGCTAGGTCACAGAAACATACGAACTGAAGCCAAAAACATCCCCCTTAGAAAATCCTCCCCAAGCCTCTCATCGTCATCTCCTTGCATTGTGTTTTTAGATCCTGGACAAGAAACTACTATTTTTATAAATCAGTATTGCTAGTGCTTCCTACTGTTCGAAATTCATGTTCCTCAAAGGTCAGTGACTGTATTTACATTTTTCCCCGAATAGTCAAGTATTGCTGCATATTCTCATCCAATTTACAACCTATTTCATCAGTGTAAATAATTAGTTTTTCTGAATAAATATGTATATTTGCTTCAGATACCCTTGAGGCTTTCTGGGCACAATTCAGATGCATACGTGGAAACTTCAACTCACTTGCAACTAGTTAGGAATCTGAGAAACCAAGGACACTAACTTTGTTAATTAGGAAAAACAACAACCCTTCCTTATTGAAATTCCAAATGCTAAGCCTTATCTTCTATTCTGATGTTTTCATTTTGAGACTGGTTCTGGCCCATGCCATCCCTACATATTTTGCTTACAAGTGGGCTTCTGAAAGACTTGTTTAAAGTCATCCAGGGAGAAGGAAAATATCCATTAACTCACAGCCTCTTATGGTGATTCCCCACTCAGCAACCTGGAGACCAATAGTCCATCAGTTCACAAAGGCAGCCCAGGAGTTAGCTGACTGATGTTCAATGACTTATTTCTATCATTCAAAGCTGTATCAGTGATATGACCAGTTTTGGTTTTATGTCTTCTAGTTAACTGATCTCATCAGCCATCTAGTGAGAGAATTGGTTTTAAACCTTCACAGGCACTGTGGTTCCTGTTAGGGATCACTAAGGCAATGTAGAACCAGATTTTCCAAGTTTGCCTGCTTGGGCAAGGGAAAAAAAAAAAAAAAAAACAGTGGCAGGAGTTACCTGATAGATCTGTGGCCATAGAGAAAGTCAGGTTAAGAAGGACATGACTTATAATTGAAACCCTTGGTCCCCACGCTTTTATCCACTTAATAGTTTTCTACTTTCTGGACTCTACAGTGTAGTATTCAAGGAATCCAATTGAGTGTCCCAAATAGAGTGGCCTTTAATCTTCCCACAAGATTGATAAAGAGCCCCTTACTGTACTGGAATAAATAGCCCTGCCTGATGAGAGGACAACCACTGTGGGATTGAACTGATGTGAAGGATGGAAGAGGTGGCGGCATAATTTGACTTTCACTCTAACTATTCAGTGATCCTAATCTTGTATATATTTATGGCCACATAAAGATTGACGTTATGCTGCAGTGCATAAACAGGGCCTTTCAGAGGCACGGGCCACAGCCAGGGGCCTCCCCGTCACGACGGTAGATGCAGCAGGATAGAGCTTGTGCTCACAGACCAGGAAAAGGTGCCAGACCCTGGCCAGATCGTCACAAGCTGCTGTGATCCTATTTCTCCCTTCATTTCCCAGTCCATTTCCACACGCTCTCTTCGTAGTTGCTGGTGAGGTGGGCAGCGTTTAAATTGGCTAAGAATTTTTTTGGTGACGATGTAAAGGGGATGATAAATTAAGCCAGAAGGCACTGAAGTACTGAAAATATGCTGTAACACATTGGGGAATAGATGACACGTATGTCAGTCAAATGAAGACCAAGGTTGTCTCGGTGGTTAAAAAAAAAAAAAAAAACCTGCTGATGTGACTGCTTGTGGAATTTTTTGATCATTGCTCCATATAAAATAAACAAACATGATCATGTAATTTCATGTGGAATTGCTGAGCATAAGGAAAACAACACATTCTAGGGTGAGACGGATCCTGCTCTCACCTGCTTTGTGTGTTTCCGTGAAATAGAGCAGTGTACGTACACAGGCTATCCAAAGGGAAGAGAGAGAAGTCTCTCCAACTATCAGGAAACTGGAGCTGAAGGAGGAGCTGCTGCCAAGAGCTCCCGGTGCATGGGAGACGCACAGCAGAAACAGTTGTGTCGTAGCAAGAGTTTCCAGTATTTGGACAGTAGTATGTGAGGTGGAGGCTGGATTACAAGGCAGAACCAGGGCCAAGACAGGTAGAAGAGTCTCTCAAAAAAAGAGAAACAGGGTTGCAGGCCATGGGAAGGTGTTGACCAATCATGATTTAGGGTAATACTGAAATATCAGCTTCCTTCTTTCTTAACTTAGTCATTGGCTTCCTGTATTTGTGGTAATACTGGCTGATCACTGTAGTTTGAAAAGCATGGCCTTTCTTTTTTGTCCTAAGGGACTGGAAATACAGCATCCCTGCGTGATGGCCAAAATTTTTCTGGTTTGAGTTCTTGTGTTGTAAATGACTCAGCTGGACTGTTATGTCAGTAGTGATTCTTCCAGTTTTGGGGCAGGCTTCCAGAATCCACATTCAGAGTCACTAAGACATCCTGCCTCTGACTTGTGGTAATAAATACGTGGTATGAGCTTTCACCATCAATTTTATCTTTAAGACAAAATACCAAGAAATCATCTCCACCAAGCATAAAAAATTTTCACATTGATTAGTAAACAGCAAAGACAAAAGGAGAGGGATGGTCACACCTGAAATGCATGCTTTAGAGTTCTGTTGTGATGCCTCCATCACTCAGTGGTCTCAGCCTTTGAATTCTTCAAAACCACGTGGGCCTGTGGAGCTAAGGCTGGATAAGTGAGCGAAATGTAGGTGTTAAATTTCTACAGTGGTTCAGCTTCCAAAATTATAAATGATATCATCTTGGGAAAATAGTACCTTTTTAAAAAAAACTGAAGCATGCTACAGAAACTGATTTTTCGGAAACATTGCTACAGTCTTTGTGACGTGAATAGGGCATCTGTAGACAGTGTTTATTCTACGTGGTGGATAAGAAAGCTATTACAGAGACAGACTAAGGCCGTGCCTGCCTAAGCTGCATAAAGAAAGACCATTCACTTTTGTGTATTTTAAGATCTTTCCTACTGCTCCCAGGGGACAAATATGTGGTTTGTCTAGATAAAATAAACAGTTGCATGAGTAGCTATCCTTAAAGTTCTTTGTAGGGAACCCACAAGGAAAAGGCACAAGTTGACTTCCCTAGTCTCTCCATGTGTTATTGTGGGACATTTAGTTGCCCTGGGCTCCTCATAGCTGGTTTTTCACTTGGAATTATGGCTGAATCCATGCCCAGTGAGTGAATGCTCAGGAGGAACCTCTGTCATGAAAAACGCAAATGCTCACTGGAATAATAAATTAGATCATTAAATAGATGAAAGGGGTCAGTGTTGTGGCACAGTGAGTTACCTGCCTCTTGCAATGCTGGTCCACGTTAGAGCACTGGTTTAAGTCCCAGCTGCTCTGCTTCCAACTCAGCGTCATGTTAACGTACCTAGTAAGGCAACAGATGGCCTGAGGATGTGGGCCCCTGCCACTCATGTGGTAAACCTGGATGGAGTTGCTTGCTCTGACCTTGGCCTAGCTCAGCCCTGGCTGTGGCAGCCATTTGAGAGTGAACCAGAGGATGGAAGAGCTCTCCCTGTCTCACTCTGCCTCTCAAACAAACAAATAGATAAATACATACTTTTTAAAACTTACAACAACTTGCCTGGGATGTATGTTTAGCCTACTGGTTAATGTCGCTCCCCCTCTTCGTGGAGGAACGACACAGGACCCTGCGCTGTTCTTTCGTCTGCTCGGCCCTCCCCGGGTTTGCTGCTGGTTCTTCCCGGGTTGGCTACTATCCCTTCCACCTCCGTGGAAGGGCAGTTCCCCCTGGCCACATTCCCCACTTCCGCAGGGGAGCGGCACACCGCCGGCCGGCTCTTCTCGGGGGCTGCACAGGTGTTCCTTCAGCTAGATGTTCCCCTTAGATGTTCCTCATAGATGTTCCTGATGCATGCCGTCTCTCTCCTCCTTTATAGTCCTCCTCCGCCAATCCTAACTCGGCTGCCCACACGCCGAGTACGCCGCTCTCCAATCAGGAGCAAGTCCTACAGTTTATTGGTTGAACTGGAGGCAGCTGTGCGGAAGCTGTTTACTTCTCTCCCAGCACCATATTGTGGGAGAGCAGATGCATAGAATAAGTCTTAATTCCAGTAACTCAGTCCAGTCCGGATTGCTCCCCACAGTTAAGACTCTGGTGAAGACACCCCATCCTATATCATGAGTACCTACATTCAACTTCCTGACTACAACTTCCTGTAATGCAGACCCAGAGAGGCGGCAGGTGATGGCTCAAGTGATTGATTGGGTTCTTGCCACCCATATGTGAGACCTCTCGCTTTGGCCCAGCCACAGCCCCAGCCATTAAAAGCATTTGGGGAATGAACCAGCAGAGAGAAACTCCTTGTCTCTCAAGTAAACACATTCATAAAGTGTTTTAAACAGAGCAATCAGTTGCAGGATCCCTAAGCAGTCTTTATCAAAAGGTAAGAGCTAAGTAAGATCAGCTGCAATGCAAGCCAAGTTTTCTAGTGGTTTAGAAGATGTTAGAAACCAACCCGAGAGAGAAATGTCCTCAGTTTCTCACTAGTTAGCAAAGAAGATAAAAGCAGAATATGAATTTGGTGTTGTAATGCAAAATTCCTGTGCTGAAAGGTATTTTCACAGTTGAACTTCTTCGCCAAACTCAACAGCCGTCTGTGTAGGTGCTAAAGGCATCAGATGGTGAAGCTGATGCTCGTACCAAAGCCATGACCTAAAAATGACAGTGACGCCAGGACATGCTGGGGGAGTTGCCAGATCTTGAAGGTGGATGGAACCTGTGAAATCCCCCAACACCTCATGTTCCCGATGAGAATACTGAGAAGCGGTGTGCTGCCAGATCCAGGTCCTTGTCACTGACCGTGTTGATACACAGAGGATGCTGAGGAGAGAGGGCTCCTCTGGGCCAGCTCAGGCGAAGCTGCATGAGCTCCAGGGTGCTGTGCACTGTGCTTCCTCTGCAGGTCATTGGCTGCTGGCAAAACTGGGTTTCATGCCGTGGGAAGGTGTTGACCAATTATGATTTGGGGTAATGCTAAACTATCAACTTCCTTCGTTCTTAATAATTAGCTTCCTGTATTTGTTGTAACCCAGCTTATCATTAGAATGTGAAAAACCTTGGTCCTTCTTTTTTGTGCTAAGGAACTGTAAATATGGCAAATCTGTCCTAAAAGGCCAAATAGCTATTTTTCTTAATATTCTTTATCTTTTTCTGTTTTAGGCTGTTGCTTTGACATCAGATTGTACATTAAATATTGGCCTGAAGAAGTTGGGTTTGGTAAAGAATGTTGCAAAAATCTCTTCCTGTCTTGTGTTTTAAGGAAATGATTTGTTATCTTCAGCTTATTACCTGACATTTATTTTTGTTGGCTTTTTAGTGTCTTGTGAACTTTGTTCTACTATAGAGATAAGTTTAAATCCTGATGCTTGAGGCTTTATCTGGACTCTCCCTCTGAAATACATTTCATCTTGGTATCAGAATGCCTTTATGAAGACATTGATAAAAATAGAGAATGATTCAGGATAACTACAGGGGAAAACAGCAGAAGAGAGAACTTTCCAGAAAAATGTGCTTCCATCATTTAGCATTTGAATTCGGTTGGTCAACTAGTTCTTACTCCACTTAAAATGTTTTGTCTATCAAGTCTTCCAAAATTTCAAGTCCATCAAATACGCTGCTAAAAGCAACATTGTGGTTAGAAGAAATTGTTTAGGTTCAGATCTAGCAATTCTAGAAAAAGAGGAAAAAATACTAAAACATTGAGACTTGTAGTACATGGGTGCTGTCTCTTAGTACACATTGGTCTCCTTCACAGATATTCATAAATCATCATTAATGAAATGGTCCAGGATTACCAAGCATGGTACTGGATCTTTAGGTTATGATTTTCCTGCAGCAAGTAGCTTGGACATTGGTGATTTTGTATATTTACTTTTTCTATTGAAGTTGAAGAAATATATATGAACCATACATATATAATATAAATGTACACATATGCATGCACCTGCTTCATACACATATAAGCATTATCCCTTGTCCTCTTAAAGGATACTGTTGACCCTTTAAGTTTTTAAAAACTATTTTTGTATCCTCTTCTTTACCCAGTGGCGAATCAGCAACCACATAGTCTTGCCAGTTACGCATTCCCTGACCCTTTCTGATTTGCTATTTCATGCCAGAGTCATGAGTATATGTGCATTGCTTGCGTACTTCCTTGCCAGAAGTGTTCATAAGTCCAAGATCACTCCAAGCTCCAGCCTTTTGGACTCTGTTGTTTAGTTCCTTGCTATTTTTAAACTCATCTGACTTTTTTACTGTGACTCCTTCCATATCTTACATATCCTTTTATTTTTTAAAGAAAGATTTATTATTTATTTATTTGAAAGGCAGAGTTACACAGAGAGAGAAGGAGAGGCAGAGAGAGAGAGGTCTTCCATCTGCTAGTTCACTCCCCAGTTGGCCGCAATGGCCGGAGCTGGGCCGATCCAAAGCCAGGAGCCGGGAGTTTCTTCCGGGTCTCCCACGCAGTGCAGAGGCCCAAGGACTTGGGCCATCTTCTGCTTTCCCAGGCCATAGCAGAGAGCTGGATCGGAAGTGGAGCAGCTGGGACTTGAACTGGCACCCATGTAGGATGCGTGCACTGCAGGTGGTGGCTTTACCTGCTACGCCACAGCACCAGCCCCTTCGATACCCTTTTAACATCTGCGTCAACAAGTCTGCTTCCAACTTAATAATTTTCTTTTACTTTGATTTCTCTCACTACTGTACTTTTGTATGTCAGTCATTGCAACAGGACTTTATCCTGTAGAATCTCCAGATCACCTTGAGAAGTACTCCATTGTAGGATCTCTAGTCATGGCATTATGCCTGTCTGTTCACTCCACATTTTGAATCCATATATATGAAGCTCATGGCATATGACTGAGGACATTCAACCTCATCCTTCATGATAATGACCACTGTATAATGTTACAGGTCTGTTGCTAAATTCTAAATCTTAGCGATGTTTCTCCCTCCATTTGTCACTAAGAAAATGCGCAGGGGCTAAAAAAATGTGCAAACCAAGTCATGGGAACAGAGGATGAAATGGGGCCGTGAAACCTATGGAAAAGAAAGCTTGCGAGAGCTGAAGACCAACCTTGCAATAGTTGAAGGACCAACTTGAAGGAGACAGGTTCGTTTAAATCTGCACATTTAGAGGAATTCAAATGAAAACCAACAGCTCAACAGATTTTTTTTTTTTTTTTGATAGCACTATAGAGGGATCTCATACTGAACGGCTGGCCAGCGGGTAGCTGGTGTAGGACAGCTACACCACTGCAGTGTTCAGGGGCTGCTGAGGCCACTCCCTGGGAGGGTCAGCATAGGTGGGGCTCAGGCACCGGCCTGGATAACGTTTACGGTTCCTCCAACTCTGATATCACATAATCTTATACTCTACTTTGTGGATCAGATTTGTGAGAGATTTAAGACAACTCCGAAAATCAGTGCCCATCTATCCACGTTTCTTCCCCTTTCTCAAAGTTGGAATTGCCTGTGAGGCAGGAATTTATCAGCTGCTCTGTTCTGATCTATCCGGTTGATACTCCCAATAGATACTCCAAATGTGAGGTTCCCTCATTACCATGTTATCATTCTGCTACCCAATTTGATAATCTGCTTTCAGAAATTATCCTCCTTATCCTCCATCAGTCATCAGTAATCTTCTCCCGTAGCAACCTCGGTTGTTTTTTAACTTAACCCAAATATTTTCCATTAAGTTCCCATCATCTACGGCTATTTTTTCCTTAGATATTTAGCTTGATGGTTCCTGTTAGTTCTCTTTTGTCAATGCATGCTCTCTGTCACCTTTGTGAATGCATCAGTCACTTTTGTGTATTAAAAGTGTGTATATGGCTCACTTTTGTGTATTAAACATTATTCATACTAGTCTTTGTGCTAGTATTTCAAGTTCACTTTTATTTTCTATATTTATTAGAATACAGACCCTTAAAACTATAAGCATTGGTGATAAAACTTCTTTTATTTTGTCTATAAAATTCACTGTCGTCTACTCTCCCATAGAACATGATGGGAGACTTCGCCCCAGCTCTTCATGTGCCTCCTATGTCCCCTTTTAGCTCTCTTCATCTGCCTGATATATTTCCTGGTCTTTATAAGAACTCTTCCGTCTTGAGCCAGAGGAGTGCATTGTAATTCTGTTACACAGTTTCAAAAACATATTTTCAATTAAAGAAAAATCTGTTGACATTGCTCTTCCAACTAGTTTTCTGATTCCAGGTTATGACCTCAAAGATGAAAATATTCCTCCAGGATCTCCAGTTTTCAGGACCAAAGCTTTAAAGTTTCTACGGGCAATTTGAAGTACTTTATATAATTGCCATTCATTCTCCCTTCCATCACAGCAATGTGTCAGAGTTTGTGCATTGGGTAGAATGTCTTTTTCAGAAACAATGAGCTTCCTGATTATTCCTGCTGAATTACCACCCCTTCAGCCAGTAGAGAGTTACCAACTGACCCACCAGCCTGTGTTTCCCTAGAAACTATGAAGGACCCACCCTGGGCTGAGGGGTCTGCCTCGTCCTCGTCTTTGGGCCAAGGGTGCTGTACTTGCTTCAGAAGATCCGAATTCACCTGCAGTGGGCAGTGTCATTTATAGGTTTTATGATTTTAGTGGAATCTAGTTTTCCCTTCTCTTTTGTCCTCTGTGATAGCTTCAGCTCTCTAATCCTCCTATGTTCCATTTCGTTCAGCATCAACCCCACTGAAATCTTTTTCTTCCAGTTTTCATCTTGGATTATTTTTTCCATCTTCTCTAGGAACACTTCATCCTTTCTAATAAGCTGCAGATACGTAGATATTCCTCAAATTCTTTCATGTTCTTTACTGGATAGTTTTATCTCATTCCTCCTTCAGAGAAAATGGGGAAAACTTATTACTGGTCTCAATAGAAAATTCTTGATTTGACTCAGTAGATTCTGTCAGTCTTGTTTTTTTTTCCTTTTCTAGCTGAGTAATGCTAATGTATTACCTAATTTCTTATGTAATTTATTTTCCAAACAGGAGTTTTTAATTATTAAGGAAAATATGCTTTATTTGAATATGATCTGACTAATGCTGAAAAATGTGACTACTATTTCCCGTGCTTCTTGATGTTTTTCTAATATTACATTGACTTGAAGTAAAATACTACGTTTGAGGTTTAGGATAAACTCATCAACTTATATGGGTGCATTTGCATGTAGCCGCTCATTGCATATTGGGTCTTACGGATACTTGCCAAATAGCTTTATTCACCAGCTGCTATTCTGAATGTTGAGATATCCTCATGAACAAAGCATGCACCTTCATTAAAGGAGCTCGCAATTTGTGAGAGCGAGGCTGACCTGTAATAGCAACCCAGTGTGCAACATGCTATCATGTCATGTGGGCATATACAAAGATCAGGTGGGGCCCAAAGGACTACCCTAACTTGATCATAGAATTTGAGAGTCTTTGTAGAGAAGGATACTTTCAATGTGCATTCTGATGGATATGTAAGTTGTCACATGAATGAGAGAATTCAAAATCCAAGAAATATGTAAAGGCACAGAAACACAAGAGAGTGTGGCATCCTGCAGGACCTGTTAGATAACCTGGCTGCATTCTATTTGTGGCGTGTGTGTGTGTGTGTGTGTGTGAGAGAGAGAGAGAGAGAGAGAGAGAGACAGAGAAAGAGAGAGAGAAAGAATGTTGGTATAGAATGACATGATACTGGACCTCACATAGAATAGTAAGATACTAGAAAATTTTGTTCTACGTACTGATTTTTCTCAATGTATAAATGCAATTATGACACAAAACAAGACTTGGAGATTAGAAGTAGGGTGACCAAATTGGAGAGAAGGGAAGGTAGCAAAGATCTGAAATTGAGGTAGCAGCAGTGAGAATAGAGAAGAGATGAAAATTCAGGTGACATTTAGAAAATGGAAGAGACAAGACTTGGGAACTGAGTAGATATATATGTGTTGAGGAACAGTCTGACTTCAATACGTCTGGCCCAGAATACTTGGGTCGATAATGGCAATGATAAATATGGATCATCTGGGATGATGATATAATTTTGGGAGGGGTAAGAGAGATGATTAATTCAACTGAAGAGATAAACAGTTTGAAGTTCCCTTGGGACATATAGACATGGACCTGATTAGACTCTGAGGCTCAGGAGCCTTACAGATTTGACCATCATCTGAATTTGTATAATAAGAGTGATAGACTTGGATGAAACCATCCAAGAACGCAAAATTTTAAAAGAAAAAAAATCAAAGGCCCAGACTCCTAGGAGATGCCATAATTTAGTAGGAAAGCAGTTATTATCTCCCTAGGAGACAGAGCAAGGGTAGACTAGGAATCTTGAAAAGAGGAGTGACGATTTGGAAAAGCAATTCAAAAACAAGCTCATGAGGACAATGCAAAAGGATGGGTGAAAGTGGAAGTGGCACCAAGAGTCCATCTCCGTTTTGGTGGCACATGTTTGAATTGTACTTAATGCAACGCACTGTCCGGGATGTGCTGTGTTACAGATGTTCTTGCCAACAAGAATGTGACTACCCTGTTCCTGTTTTACAAGATCACTTTAAATTCTGAGATTGGCTTGCAAGAAAGAATTCTGTGTACACCTACCCTTTGGTCATCTGTTGTCATAATGAGGATCTTCTCTGTGCCATCCTTTGGAGCCACGGTGAAAATGTCAAGGATGAGGGTTTTGTATTGCTGAAAACTTCTGTCCTGCTTCCTTTGCGCTTATGGGGTTGGGGAATTAGAATCATCTCAGCATCTGGCCTGGCTGGTCAGCACAGTCCCAGAGTTTGCAGGCCAGAATCTGTCAGCATTGGACGATTCAGTTAGAAAGAGGAAGTGATGACATATTCGTAGCCAAAATCATCAGCATTGGGAATGGGGAGCATTTAAAGAAGTTGGGGAGAGGGGTAGAGAAGGGAATTTTTCAAAAGGAAAACCCTCTGGTGCTCAAGGACCGTTAAGCACCCGGCCCCACCCAGGCCTTCAGGAGCAAGCAGAAGTGGTCCTATCTGCTTTGTGTCCACAGAGAGCAGACTACAGGAGTTCTGGACAGGACGCAGATTTACCAAGGATAAAGGAGAGTCTGAGAATGGCCAAGTGTGCCTCAGTCCCACATATCTTTCCCAACTCCACCTTGATGTTTAGAGAGTGTTCTGGATAGACAGTACCACCTGTATCTTAGCGTCAAATCAGCAGACTAATCCCAGGGGTAAATCCCATCCTTGGACTACTTTCATATATACATCTTTATTAGCATGTAGCCATTCCCATTAGTTTATGTGTTGTCATGGCTGCTTTTATATTATATTAGCAAAATCGAGTAGTTGCAATGGACAATGTGTAGCTTGCAAAGCTTAAAATATTTACATCCTGGCTCTTGGTAGAAGCTTTTTTTTGACCCCTGTCTTAGTATAAAGACGCTAACTTCAAAAACAGCTGTGCCTCAATTCATCTTATATGGATGAACCACTGTATAGCATAAGTACACAGACACCCACACAGCCACCCACCCACACACGGAGAAACTGAGAATTTAAATGGCTTAAAAATGCAATTTGCATTTTAACTCTGAATTTTATTTTTTAAACGTTGCATAGACTTTGTTTGGCTCACCCTCTTTTTCCCCTCCCAGGCTCTGTCTTAATCTTCCCAAGTGAAATCTGTCCTTTGCTTCATGTTGTCTTGTAACCATATTTCAATAGCACTTAATCAGTGATAAAACTGCTTTGATTTATTCCCAGCTGTGGATATTATTGTTGAAATCTGTGTAAGTGTTCCGACGTGTTATGATTGGAGCAATAGCACTTAAGAGTCCAGAGGCAAGTCAGAAAATTAACCACTGAGTTTTCTGATGCCTAAATTAACTGCACAGACAGTGCTGAGTACAATGAGAAAGTTGGGAGAAACTTACTTGGCAGTATGTAAAGTGTTGAAATGGCTCACCCATTCAAAGTATTACATTGCAAGGACAAGTTCTCATTGGCTATGCTTCCCCCAGGCAGTGCCACACTTTTCTATGGGAGGACAGCTGGCTGCTCTTTTCCTCCAGGACTTTTCTTCCTGGAGCGTCTAGATGATGATGCTGTGGCAGGGAATGTGGTACTGCTCAGCCCTGTGATGTCTCCTGCATGTGCCATTAGAGGAACTCTGCGGAAAAGAACAGGACAAGACCCAGACAAGCCACAATTGCAAAAGCAATCTGTGTTCATGGCAGAGAAGTTGGAGGAAACCGCCAGAACAGCAAGTGACCTGTAATACCAGCACCTAGAAATAACAGCTCTTCATCTGAAGGCTACCAAACTGTTTTTGATTCTCATATCACCCAAGAAATGAGATAGATCTCAAGAAAAACATATGTGCCTACATGGTGTTTGGAGTAGCTATGTTCCCACTGTTTCCAGCCAATTTCTGGTACTTTGTTCTTCATGTATTCCTTCTTTGAATGCTACCTTGCTTCACTGCTAGCTAGACTACTTGCAGTTTGAGTGGTACTATAGCTGGAGTTGGCCATGCTGTTACTCTTGGCTATTTTTCTAAATCTATTTTTTGGGCAAATTGAAAGGAGAAGCTTTCAGTACATATTTTAATTGTCATTGTTTCTGCTCTACTGTCTTGATCTGTTTATTATTAATATTTCCACCTATGGGTAGATGTTGTTAGATGCTATTATTGATTTTCCTCGTTGCAAGGTGCTTATTGAACTAGGCTGATTTTTTTTCTATATATAAACTGCAAATATTTTTTCATGAGAGGAATATTTTTATGTCTATAGGAGCTCAGTAACTGTTAAGTCTTTTTTTTAATAAGAGAAAGGCAAATTCTTTTTTAACTTAAAAAATCAATCACTTGAGAGGCAGAAATACATACACATGCACACGAACACACACATACACACATTCAGAGAGAGAGAGAGAGAGAAAACTATCCTTTGCTTTACCCCTCAAATGCTCAGAACAGAGCCAGAAACTTAATCCAGGTCTCCCACATGGGTGGCAGGAACTTAACTGCTTGTGCTGTCCCTGCTGCCTCCCAGGATCTGTGCATCAGCAGGAAGCTAGAGTCGGGATGGATCTGGACATCAAACCCTGGCGTTCCAAAATGGGAAGCAGATATTTGAGCTGCATCTTCACTGCTAGGCTAAACATCTGCCCCTGTAAGTCCTTCTAAAATGTGCAGTGATGGTATTGGATCATCTCCCAGCAAGAGCTGACAATCCTCATACTCTTTAAGTCGTTGAGTCTTACTCTATTGTTGTAGTCATTGTTTATCCCACCCAACTAGACCCTGAGCTCCTTGAGAGTGAAAAATATGCATTTTATCTCTGGATTTCCAGTTCCTCGTCCAGTCTCTGACACATGAAAAAAATGTGTGCTTAATAAATATTGGGGGGTCAGGCCTGTGGTGAAGCAGTTAAGATCCCTTCATCCCATGTCAGAGTGCCTGGCTGTGTTTCCAATCCAGCTTCCTGCTAATGCACACCCTGGGTGACAGCAAGTGGGTGTTCAAGTATGTGGGTCCCTGCCACCACCTTGGGAGGCCAGGATGGAAGTCCTGGCTTCTGACTTCAGCTTGGTTCAGCACCAGCTGTTGAGGGCACTTGGGGGAGTGAACACGTGGAAGAAAGGTGCATGTGTGCATCCATCTCTCTCTCTCATTTTACCTTTCAAATAAAAATAAAGAAATACTTGTAAAATATTGATAAAGGGGAAATTGCTTGCCCAACATCATCTATTAGTAGAGTACCAGAACTACATCCCTTTATTTCCTCTCATGCTGACCAGTCCAGGGAGTAGGTTCTTAAGTTTAAAGCCAGAATCTCAAACCTGAATTTGTTCCCCTTCTTAGCAGGATAGTCTCAGTGAAGTCTGAGGACCTCAAACCCAGTATAATAAAAATATTGACAGTAACAGAACCTGCTGCACTAGGATTATTGCAGATGAAATATGATCCTGAAGTGGCTTGATTTTTTAAAATGATTTATTTATTTGAAAATCAGAGCTGCAGAGAGAGGGACAGAAGGAAAGACAGTGAGGGAGCTCTTCTATCTACTGGTTCATTCCTCCAATGGCTGCAATGGCCAGGGAGAGGCCAGGCCAAAACCAAGAGCCAGAAGCTTCATCCCGGTCTCCTGTGTGGGTGACCAAGCACTCGGGCCATCTTCTGCTTTCCCAGGCACATCAGCAGGGAGGTGGATGGCAAGCAGAGCAGCCAGGACACGAACTGGCGCCTATATGGGGATGCTGGCATCACAGGCAGCGACTTTGCCTGCCACACCACAGCGGCGGCCCCTGCCTTGACTATTTTAAGTGCTCATCAAATGTTAACTTTTATTAAACATCTTTCTGGGTCATTGTAATAAATTGAAATAAGCCATAGTGGATACTTTTTCAGCTTGAAAATTGGTTAACATAAATAGCAAGTAGTAAAAATAAATATAGTTGGCCTTCTGCAGATTCTACATTCCTGGATTCAACCAGTTGTGTCTGTACTGAACATATACAGACTTTTTAATGCTGTGAGTATTCCCTAAAAAAATCCACCATAACTATTTGCATAATGTTTATGTTATATTAGTAGTATAACTAATCTAGAACAGATTTAAAGTATGTGGGAGATTGTATGTAGGTTATATGCATACAGAAGGGACTTGACCATTATGGATTTTGGTATTAGGGGGGCCTGGATTCTACCTACACTGGTTGCTCTGTGCTCTGAAAATATGATTCATTGTTATGGCTTCTTTTAGATTCATTTCACTTTTTAATTATAAATGTACAAGCACTTGAATAGTTCACAGGGGATTATAAGTTATTCTCATACTTTATCTTCTATGTGTTTTCTAGACCCAGAAATTAAGAAATAAGGGGAAGATGTAAGTCTCCCTGAGGTGACTCAAAATCACAATCAGTAAGAAACAAGTTCTGTAACAAGGTTCTCTGATGGCTGAGTCAAGACTTCTTTTCATATTGCAGTTCTAAAGGATCCCAAAAAGTATTATTTACAATCACATGTAGGATATGGGCTTGTGTATGCTGTGTTTTGTTGAAGATGGCTAACCTAGGCATCAAATCCATGATAAGATTATAATGTACTGTTCTCAGAAAAAGATTAAGAACGTGTTGCAAGAGCCTTTTCGTCTCATCAGGATGATGGTGACGCCCTCTCATCCTAGAACTTGGCTGGAGGTGGAGCCTAACTGCACTGGTTGGATTTTAAGTGGCTCTGAGAACCAGTGCCTTCAGACTATGAAGGAACTGAAGGGTGCTGAGAGCACCGGAACTCCTGGGTGGGATGTGGGCTCTCAGACAGGCGGGAGGTTGTCCCAGCAGGTGGAACCTATGCCCTTCTCATTTCTTTGGGGGAGGAGTGCCGCTTGCTTTTATTGTAATCCTGGAGGCAACTGGATTTGTTAATGAGCATAACAGGATTAATTTTTTTTTTTTTACAAAATGTTCTGAATTTTCTAATCTAATTTGAAAGGAACCTTCAAAAAGTAGGCAAATGCTTTTCCTTCTGCAATCTTTTTGAAGACATAATTTGGAGGCACTGATAAGAAAAATAAGTCACATGGCAATGCACAGCTTGATCTATAGGGCCAGAAGCAGCAGGTAGGACTGGTCATAAAAAAATGTGTAAGTATATGTTCTCCTAGTCAAGTTTAAGCTCCCTCTTGGTTTCTGGTAACATTTGGGCAGGCCTAGCTTTTTTATTGTTTAAAAATAAGAAGAGGAGACCGGCGCTGTGGCTCACTAGGCTAATCCTCCGCCTTGCGGCGCCAGCACACCGGGTTCTAGTCCCGATCGGGGCGCCGGATTCTGTCCCGGTTGCCCCTCTTCCAGGCCAGCTCTCTGCTGTGGCCAGGGAGTGCAGTGGAGGATGGCCCAAGTGCTTGGGCCCTGCATCCCATGGGAAACCAGGAGAAGCACCTGGCTCCTGCCATTGGATCAGTGCGGTGCGCTGGCTGCAGCGCGCTGGCTGCAGCGTGCCGGCCGCGGCGGCCTTTGGAGGGTGAACCAACAGCAAAAGGAAGACCTTTCTTTCTGTCTCTCTCTCTCACTGTCCACTCTGCCTGTCAAAAAGGAAAAAAAAATAAGAGGAAAGAAATGAAGCACCCAACAGTGACTTTCTGCTTTGCTGGAAAACACTAACTAAATCAAATGACCATAGATGACAGTAGTTGCTGGTTCACTCTCATGTGCCCAAGGACCAGGTACATTTTGAATGAGCTGGGCAAGCTCAAGTTCAAGCTCAGCCTCACTCAGGTGTGCCTGTCTGGCCATGCCCCTGTTGTGCAGTGAGGTGAAGAGTGCTTGATCTCTCCCACGCTGGTCTCAGCCAGGGGTCTTTTGTTAAGACCTGCCTGAGAGCTGGCAAAATGACATTCCCTGGTGTGATTGAGTTTTAATGTAAGATTACAACCGTAGATCAAAGTGAGGAGGACATTTGGGCAAGGGGCTCTTAAGAATTTTAGAGCCGGAGCATAAAGAGCATAATTATACTGCATGATTTAGGGTTGTTTCTGCAGGTGCCACTCAGGAGCAGGGCTTGTCCTCTGGTTTATAAAGGGCTTTGGATCTTTTTTTCTTTCTCAGTCATCCCTATTATTTAGCATCTAGAAGACCTTTTAACGGCTGTGATTAAAGAAACCAGCACCGTTCTATAAATGACTTTTCTTGATAAGGGTGATCTGCCTTTTATACAGAAAGCCTATTTGATTTGGTATCTACAAATTCAGGAATGAAAAGGAAAGAAATAAGACCAACAATGGGAGAGTATGGAAGTTCTCTGTTCCTGATTTCACCAGTTGCCATTTGAAAGTAAGTCGACCCCAGCTGAGCTTATGTGCCTTTGCATTGTTAACCTACTTTTTAAAAGTGTTCCAATAACAAAAACATGTACCTTCCCAGAAGACCTATATGGGAATTCCTCTCTGGGTTTAGGACTGCTGAGAAATTTGACCCTCCCCATGATAACATTTTTTGGACTGTTGATGACTATGGTCGCTCTGTAACAAGGGGGGCTTTCCCTTTTCACCCTGGCCACCAGGGACCAAATTCCATGCTCAGTTGCTCCCCCTGAGCCTCAGTTTCAGGAAGCACACCCTTTTTCACTTGTTCACTGCCTTTTCTGTTTTTTTAAATCTTTATTTAAGTGAGAAAGAGGGAGAGACAGAGAGAAAGAGACCAACCATGCTCCCATCCACTGGTTCACTCCCCCCAGATTCCTACAAGCTGGGAGCCAACAGCTCAGTCCAGCTCTCCCATGTGGGTGCCAGGGACCCAGCTTCTAGGACCATCTCCTGCTGCCTCCCAGGGTGCACAGTAACAGGAAACTGGAGTCAGAATAAGAGCTGTGCTCCAACCCAAGCAGTCCAGTGACGTATGAGGTAGTATCCTAACCAACATCTAAGCTGCTAGGCCAAACGTCTGATAACGGATACATGCTCTATGATTTCTGTATTTGCTGTGCCATTGGGTGTATGGTATACCAACTTATATCCTGAAATTTGTTTTTAAACTTTACATATGTTTTGATCATGGAAGGAATACATGATTATTATTTTCAGAAACTAGAAAATATAGGGGAAAAAAAACTAAAGGAAAATGACAATTAGCTGTAATTTTGCCATTCAGGAAATAATTTGCTTTTAACATATGACCCAACCATGGAATGGAGATAATAAACAGATTCTACCTATCATTTAGCCTCCTGGGGTTGCTGTGAGTATAAAAATGGAACTCCTTGGGACATGTTTACAGCAGTCCCAGGGAGTATGAGTGATTGATAAGGGCTGGTGGTTATTGTTAGTGTTGGATGTTTTATCTCAGACCCATTTTGCTAGGCATGTATGTCAGCTCATCTTGGTAAATAGGGACGGTCAGGTATGCAACAGAATCGTGGTATTTGAAAGCTACAAAAGGTTAAAGAGCTTATCGAATCTGATTTCTCCACTAAAAACTCTAGAAAGAAGCTGGGAAGTTGGGGGAGGCAGGTATCTTTCCAAATCTTCAGCTGTTAGCAGTTCTACTTCAGTATCTTCAGAGTTAGAAGCTACAAGAATCCCTATGTTTCTTGGTGGGGTAGGGGAACCCGGGGTGATTCTGGGCATGGGTGGCTGTTAAGTAGATCCACTGATCTGTGGCCCAGTCAGCTTGAATAGGTAAGGAATAAAGTACCCTGGAGGCTTGGTGGCCTCAGGATTCTGCCAGTGTTTAATTGGTGCTGGGCAGAGCCTGGATCTCTGGACTGCACCAGCCAGCAGCTATCTCTTTCAGGTAGAGAGTCACAGGCAGGTTGGAAGTGGCAGTTGCTGCAGGTAGCATTCCATTTTAAGATACACCATCATGTTTGCACACAGTTGATTCAGGTACTGGAATCTGTATTTGTTGTCGAAAGCAAAACAAAGAAAATAGTATTTATTATCATTTCAAAGCATTCATGTTTCACGCATTCATTCTGATGTTTTCTCTCCAGCCTGAATTAATGAAATTTTCCAGCCCTTTAGTTCCTCCATGTAGATGACTTGAGGGGTAAGTGGAAGAAGTTTGCTAGGAATTTTAGCATTGTCAGTGGCTTCCTTCTAGTGAAGTTCTCTCGGCCTTTGCTGCTTCCCCATACGGAGCCTTGGCATCTGAGAAGAGGCTGCAATGGGGCAGCTTCTTAGCATTCAGAGAAGTTGAGACCCCTTGTGGTTTTTCTGGGACCACGCACTGTAAGTTGACTCACACGTGAGTGTGAGAGACTATGAGGAGAAGCCAACTGCGTGAACTAGGCCTGTGAGTGTGTGAGCGTGCGGGGTGATTGGTAAGGTTTCTAGATGTTACCAGTGTAGCTACAGTCTTGCATGACACTGCCCTTGCCACTGCACATGGCTGATTCTGTAAGGCTGTTCTGTGGGTGTTGAGATGTTTCACTGTGTCCGCCTGACATAAACTAATGATGTAGACTGCTAAATGTACTGCCATGATTAAACAGGATGTTAATTAGTGGCTCCTCCAAGAGGCTTGAGCCTTCCTTTTAGCAGCCTTTGTTGTGTGTGCACCAAAGTTAAAGAGACAGAAAATGGCTGTTTCCCAACTTGGATCTGTTCCTGGCAAGGAGGATTGGGGAAAAATGCCTTCAAACCACCTCGGAAGACATATCAGGTCCATCTTTGTGTCCTGGGGACTCGTCCACAGCTATGTCTTTGTGCGAAGGAATATGGCAATCTTCCTGCAGGCAGTAATCATTTGTACTATTACTTAGTTGTCATGTATTGATGATGCCATTTCAATCAAACATATCTCATTCAGAGAGCTTTTGATGGGAGGAATTTTTGGAAGGGTTTAGGAAGGTTAAATCTGTGAGACATGGCTTCCATCTGGAATGCATTAGCTACAAAGATTTATTAGTCAGAGTGCCTGTGCATAATGTTCCATGGAAAGCGGGCCCTGCATCTAATTTCCAGTGTGATGTCTATATGAGGAGTGATCTTTGAAATATCATAGGTGACAATCAAGTTTGTTATAAAAATAGTAAATGCCCGGGATTTTCATGGCGGCTATTTTAAATCCCTCATGAGGGCTGCTAAGCAGGTAGTTGATTTGTTGACAAATGATAAAACTGTTAGGAATAGCAGCATGCATGAAATTTTAAAATGGGGTGGGCCTTTTCGGCAGAAAAAAAAGCTATTAGGAAAATTATGAGCTGTTGGTGTTTTCATTTGACCTTTCTCCAAGCAAGATGGCGTTCAGAAATAATAAGACCAGGACTCAACTATGTAAAGAAGTGCATCCCCCTACTGATTAAAACCATTTTTAAGAGCTGGTGGTGTTGATCAATAAGTGAGGCAGGAGACGCTTTATAACATCGCATGTTAGACAGCCTGAGACTCCATAGCTCTCAGTTGTAATGTGCTTGGTATAAATTGGAAATTATAGGGGTGCTACGGTTTCAACTCTGCTGATGGCTGCATGGAAGGCAGGCAGAGCCGGAGTGTGGCTCCTGCTTACTTGTGTTGTCGTGCTGTGAAAACACAGCCAACACAAAGACAGAGATGGCGAGGGGGAGCTGACCTGGGCTGCAGAGATGAAGATCAGGGAACAGAAAACTCCCAGCTTCCTGCTGCAAAGGCAGTGTCTGCCCTGGGGGGGATGCTCTGCCCCTCCTCCTCCTCACCTGCCTTGTCTCTGACTTGCCAACACGAAGGTAACGCCACATCGGGCAAAAGCAGTCCCGTAAGAGCTTTCTGTCCCATCAGGAGGCTGTAAGGGTTGGAAGCGCCTTGGCTGGCTGTGTCATATCTTCCTGACACTGAAGGGCAAAGGATTAATGCCAGGTGCAGGGCGTGTCGCCATCCAAATATTTATCTGTGCATTTGGGTCACACCACAATGCCCAGTTGTGTCATTCCCACTCAGTTGTAGGAAGAAGTATTCTGTATCCTGGATACAAGTTCAGTACTGAATTGTTCTCCAAGGATTGCGAAGGAAGTGCCGGGGCTCAGCAATTTTCTTTTACCCTCGCGTTGGGCTTCTGTGCCACGGGGCGGTTTTGTGCCAGAAAACAGAATTGAGAGGGAAGTAGAGCCAGCCGCAAACCGCCTGACACCGAGTGAAAAGAGGTTTGACCTCAAGACCTCAAAGATCAGGCCTTGGGTTTTCCGTTCTCAAGGTGGACATTTGCAGGGTCCTGCACTTGAACTGCTTATTTCTCGTCTGCATCCATGGTGCCTGTTAGGAAGCTTACAGCTGGAGCAGTGCCTCCCACTGCTGAGGCCACATATCCGGGAACACACGTAGGTGGGATGCAGCTGAGACCATTAAGTTCCCATCTGGCAAATGATACAGGCTTCTCACAAAAGCATAGCTGGTACATACTCTCCCCCGCCCCAATCCAAATGACTGGGTCCCCTTATGCCCCAATTACAACCTTGCACTAGCACTGGTGTGTAGACATCCAGCTTGCCTTCTGGGCCCGCTGTGGGCCAGGTCCAGGTCTCCTCCTCCTACGATGCCTGCTTTTCCTAAGGCAGGATAGCACCCTGGCCTCTTCCCTGGGTGCCATTGTTTGTAGGATCTTGTGTTCATCAAAATCTCCCAGTAGCCTGGCGTCTTTGTGTATGTTTTTGTGTGAACTAAATAAAAGAATGATGGAAACCATGACAGCTTCCCAAAGGCTCGCTGGTTGAGCTTTCTCTACTTTTGTCATAGGACTGAAAAACCATTTGAGGACCAGATTTTGGGGAGCTTAAGTTACTCATCCAATCCGTTGGAGTGTGTGGGTGATACTCCCCCTGGCCTGCCCAGTTGTCTCAATTCACTTACCTCCCCGCTCTTGGTGCTTATGTGCGATCTATTGTAGAATGCCCCTCTCCAAAGTAATGTTTGCCCCCAAATCAGTCCACAGTGAATAAAAACAAACAAAGTCCTTGACGATTATCACCTTTGCTTATCTCCTCCTTTTGCTCCCAGTAATATTTCATTTTTTAAAAATTGTCAATGGCTTACAGTTATATTAATTGCTTAATGTAGACTTAAATACTGAAAGGCCTGGAAGAAAACTCTAGAAAGATTTTACTGACAAAGTTTGTTTTTGTGGTATCACAGTCTAGGCTGCTTTGGATGTTTTATATCACCTTAGTTTTTTCCTGTTTTGATAGAAATCCGTTATTAGTAAAGAGTGATTAGTAAATTGGCACAAACTTAATGTTTTGGTATTTGAGATTCAGAACTTCTTTAGTCACACTTAAAAAAATACCATAAAGTTATTTGAGTAACATTCTATGAATAAAGGTTAATTTCTTTTTTGTTACATTTTTATTTATTAACATATACAGGACAGATTTCATGAATTTCATAGATATGATTCAAAGACCATGATACTGTCTTCTCTCCCTCCCTCACTCCCTTCCTCCCTCCTTCCTTCCTTTCTTTCCTTTATTTTCTTTTAATTTTTCACAATAATACAGTTTCAATTTACCTGATGACCGCAGACTCAACACTTCTCTAAGCATAGGGCTCTACAAGTACAAGGTGGACAGACCATTGTTCCATAGGAGTGTGGACAAGGGTTCTAGACAGCGCTCAGATCTCAGGATGTCCATTTATCTCAATATACTCTGATTTTTTTTGTACTCTATATTAGCTATAACCTATCAGAGAAAACACATGATATTTGTCTTTTTCAGTCTAGCTTATTTCATTAAGCAGAATGGTCTCCAGTGGTATCCATTTTATTTCAAGACAGGATTTCATTCTTTTTTTATGGCTGAGTAGCATTCCATCATGTATTTATGCCACATTTTCTTTTTTTTTTAAGATTTTTATTTATTTATTTGAGAGGTAGAGTTACAGTGAGAGGAAAAGACAAAGAGAAAGTTCTTCCTTCTGTTGGTTCTCTCCCCAAATGGCCACAAAGGCCAGAGCTGCACTGATCTGAAGCCAGGGGCCAGGAGCTTCTTCCCTATCTCCCACGTGGGTGCAGGGGCCCAAGCACTCGGGCCATCTTCCACTGCTTTCCCAGGCCACAGCAGAGAGCTGGATCAGAAGAGGAGCAGCTGGGACTAGAACCTGCGCCCAGATGGGATCCTGGCGCTGCAGGTGGAGGATTAACCCACTGTGCCACAGTGCAGGCCCCTACCACATTTTCTATATCAAGTCATCAGTTGATGGTCATCTGGGTTGATTCCATTTTTAGCTTTTGTGAAATGAGCTGCTATAAACATGGGAGTAAATCCAACACCAAATATTTTTATTACATTTAAATTTTTGAAAAAGAAAACATAATATTTACATGTTAATTATCATACCTGAAAAGGAAGTTTCACATTTTTGAAATGAGATTTAACTTTAAAAAGCCACTGTGGACATACGGTCTCCTCTCATCCAGTGTAGAACTGTAGCTGGCTGTTCTGTGATTTACTAGTGAAATCTTACCAGTCATTTCAGTCAGTCCCATAGTAATCAGTCATGAAGTGACAAGATTAACCCGCTAGATTAAATTGTTATAATTTCACATGTAACAGTAGGATAAGAAAAGTATAAAATATTATACAAATGCAAGGTGTTATCATTGACTCATTTAACTTCTGAGGAAGTCCGCAAATGTAGCTGACGGGGTCTCATAATCCTGGAATTCATGAGTGGAAATAATCAATAGTATCATTAGATGAATGCTTAAAACCAGTGTCATCTCAAGGTCACAAAAATGGGAATAATTTCTTTTTTTTTTTCTTTTTGACAGGCAGAGTTAGACAGTGAGAGAGAGAGAGACAGAGAGAAAGGTCTTCCTTCTGTTGGTTCATCCCCCAAATGGCCGCTATGGCCAGCACCCTGCGCTTGTCCAAAGCCAGGAGCCAGGTGCTTCTCCTGGTCTCCCGTGCGAATACAGGGCCCAAGCACTTGGGCCATCCTCCACTGCACTCCCGGGCCATGGCAGAGAGCTGGACTGGAACAGGGGCAACCGGGACAGAATCCGGCGCCCCAACCGGGACTAGAACCAGGAGTGCAGGCGCCGCAGGCGGATGATTAGCCAAGTGAGCTGCGGCACCGGCCCTTAAAATGGGAATAATTTCATCTCATTATGTTGCAAAGGAAAGCATCTTACTAAGATGATGTATGCAAAAGTTAAGTACTTTCTATTTTGTGAGCTTAATCCACCTCTCTTATAGCGGCACAGGTATGTCAAAGGAAAACATTCCACAGCTCTCCCACCAAATATCACTGGTTCCATTAACCCTCCCTGGCTGGGTCAGGCTTCTCTTCCTTTCCTGTGAGTGCCCAAGAACCCTGCCTCCTCCAGGACGATCTGCCTGCTCGCTAGACTGTAGACTCTTTCAGGGTGGAGATGTTTCTGCCCCGTGCCTGGCCAAGCGCCTGGCGCACAGTAGGCTTTCAGTAATTGCTCGCTGAGTGAAGGGCGCTGCCAGAGGCTTCCCGCCGGGAACAACACGTGGCCTTGTACAAAACGACTAGAAGGTTTGTGAAAGGTGGACGTGTATACGTACAGCTCTGTTATGCGTATCCTAGTTGGTATTTTCTCATCAGTGACATTGGCAATGGAGGTGAAGGCGGTTTTATAATTGCCCAGTGGCCTCCAAGAATCAAAATCCCTTTCTGTGATACGGTGCAAGAGTATGACCTGGGAATCTCCAAATTTTACCCCTCCCTTCCCTCTGGGCAGGGCTCTTTTTTTTTTTTTTTTTTTTTTTTAAACAGTTCAAAGTAAACTGACATTAAATCACAACAGAAGAAAACAATGGATGACTGATAAAAATGAAAATAGCATGGATAGTAATATCAAAACAAAGAATAGGCGCCAGGTGTCCCTGTGTGTTTTGTTTTGCACTGTATCTTCTAAATTTGGTGATGAGGCAACTCCGTGTTATCCAAGCCAGGGTTCAGCGTTTGCGCTGTGGAGTGCAAGTATTCCCTTAAAAGCTGTGACTCTCCCCCCAAAGACAGGAATATGCACTGAATGCTTTTTGGAATGCTAAGCTTCCCTGCGATGTCCTAGGTTTGTGTAAACCCTGCGTGATTTCATCTCACGGTCATGTATGTTTCCAGAGCCCTCCTGCCTGCCTTCCCACTCTCCTATTTTCTACCCTCTTTGACATATTGATGCCTCTCATTTAGCAAATTCCTTTTATAGATGTTGTTTTGGGTGTGTTTTTTCGCTTACCAGACTTGCTGCTATTCAGATCCTTAAGCAATATTTTTAAAAATCAGCAAGCAGGCACACATACCAGTCAGTAACCATCCGGATTTTCCGATAAAGCAGTGTGAGCCCAGGGGGTTCAGACACAAAATCAGGTCCCTTCATGCTGTGACGAGCGATACGGGAGAAGAGGAGGGTAATATTATTGGCTTAAAACATTTTAAAACAATATTCTATGTATTTAATTATAGTATTCCTATTTCTTAATAGCAAGGAAAATTTTGAGTTAACTATCATATCAAAGACACTCCAAGGGTAAGTTAGTATTACTGTCAGTACAAGCTATCACTGATTATACTAATCATTATTTTCAAAGTCTGACTCTAGCTGTTCATTTTTAAAGGTGAAATTTTTTTCTCTTTCTTTCCTGCCTGCTTACCTTCTTTTCTTTATTTCTGAGAGAGAGAGAGAGAGAGAGAGAGAGAGAGAGAGAGGAAGGGAGGGAGGGAGGGATCTCCTTTCTGCTGATTCACTTCCCAAGTACCTGCAGGAGCCAGGGTTGGGCCAGGTAAAAGCCAGGAGCCTGGACCTCATTGCAGGTCTCTTGTGTGGGTGGCGGGAGTCCAGGCCCTTCATGGATCACCTGTTCCCTCCCAGGGTGACGTCAGCAGAAAGCTGGAATCAAGAGCAGAGTTGGGACCTGAACCCAGGAACTCTTACATAGGATGCAGGTGTCGCAAGCCATGCCTTAACCACTGTGCCAAGTGCCTGTCCTCTCCTCTTTCTTAAACAAAAGTGTTTATTTCCTAGTAGAATTAGCAGATAATCTGAAATTGTCATATGATCTTTACTCTTGGAAGTGTTAGGGCTGAGCTAGCCAGAAGATGAATATTTACATTATTTTGAATGTTTTTCAGGGTCTGCAAGATTCCACTGAGAATCCTATTTTGATGCTGTATAAAATGATTTTGGTGAAAATCATTTCTCTAACTGTTCTTTTTAAATGAATTAGATAGTTTTAGGCCAGTGTGTTTTTTTATTTGTTTTTAGTTGTTTCATTGGTGGCATTCTACTGGACTGTTACTGTGAGATAATAATAATCTGACACCTACATATAGAGAATCAGCCAAGCATCTTAAATACATCCAGTGATGAGGTTGTGCATGTAAGCAACCCCAATGAGGAAGCAGAGTTCGGGATGAGACTTGAGGCTTTTATTCAAATGTCCATTCTAGCATTTCCTCTGGAGATGGAAGGGAATTGTCCTGAGCCTTAGTTTCATCATCTGTGAAAAGGGCAAAGTGATAGTCTCAAGTTCAGCAGGAACTGAGAAAATGGTGATTTCAGTGGAACCCAAGGATTCTGAATGTGCCCTAAGAGTTTCTAAGGGCTAGGCTACTTGGGAGGAAATTCTTCTGGTCTTTCACTCACAGATAATGGTGACTGCTGCTTGATCAGATTCTCCCTCTGTTCAGACCACACCCAGGCAAACTTGAAGCTATCACACAGGAAATAGGTTCGCATGGGGATGTGTTGGGAAAGTTATCAGACTAGAGGAACCTCCACCAGTGCCGTCTTTCTGGTCCCAACAGGCCTGGGACTAGATAATCCCCCACATCACCAGGTTGTCCCCTTCCTCTGCCCTCAAGGAGGATTGAACTCGCTGCCCCTGGGCAGCTTGGAGGGACCACATCACCACTTCAACCGATGAGCTGTGAGTGGCCATGAGAGGTCCCACTCAGGCTGAGATCTGGAGGTGGCTTTTCCTCCTCGATGACAAAGGTGCTGGCAGCTGTGCAGCCCAGGCACTGGAGGAGGTTGGTAGGGAGCAGAGTGGCCCAGGATGCTTGTTGGACATGAACATGTGTGAGGAATAAGCTCCTCTTTTCCAACCAGTGATAGACTGAGGTTGGTTGTTACCTAGTGTAACACACTGACGCTAGATCATAGCAGGGGTCTGCCTGTGTAAGGAAGCACTAGGGAAGCCTGCAGGAGGAACTGATGCTGGAGACCTTAACATCCTGAGTAAAGACTCGGAATCAAGTCCTAGCTCCATGTGCTACCGACAGACTGACCAACTAAGCCAGTTACTTAGTCTCTCTGCATCTCCAATTCTACATAAATAGTGTGCAAATAACGCCACTGTTGATCTTATGGACCTGCTATATGGATAACATGATATCTTGCATGTAACACTTCCGAGAAAAACACCAGGCAGAAAGCAGGATGAATATGTAATAAATGATTATTCTATCTTTAATGTTCTGTGAGTCAAAAATACCATATTTCCCTATTTCTGTCACATATTTCTGTTTCTAAGAAATATGGTAATGGGCAATGGCCTGGAAAGAAAGTAAGGGGGTAGAACCTTAGTCCGTTTAAGACAGGCAATGTCTAGTGGAAATCAGCGGTATCTCTATTAGTACCAGTTCATTGCAGCTTAGCCAGCCCATTTCCAAAAATAGGAATCAAAGACAATGAACAAATCTGCAGTAATCCCTTCTAAGTAACCATCATCCATCGAGTGATATCTTCCTACAAAAACTTCTTTGGGAAAAGAGATTATGTATTTGTCTCACCTTGGATCTTGCAAATTTATTTCACACTGTGTGTCTTTAAAGCTTTCGAACAAACATTAAATTGATTATACAATAATGGCAATAGCTCATTTGGAATATTTACAAGAAAACCCCCATAGAATGAGCATAATGAGAAAAATAATGAAGCCGTAATTATAATTCTCAAGGCTAATAATTTTAATAATAATTTATACTTAAACAGCTCTACACATAAGGAGATTTCAAAGGTTTATAAATATTAAGTAACCCATGTCTGCCGAACTGTTTCTGAAACAATGCCTTAAACCTGAAATTCCTGAGATATGCATAATACCACTAGTATTATTAATCTCATTTTACAAATGGGTAAACTGAGGCAAAGAAAATATGCCTAGGGTCAGGAATCCTTAAAAATAAGTACTTGTCTCAAGTACCTGCACCCCAGATCAACCCAATTAGAACATCACAGTGGAGTAGTTTGTGTTTCAGTCTCGGTAGCAGTTGAATTGTGTTGTGCAGACTGCCACACCTGGCTTGTGGGATCAGACTCACAGGTTTCATTTAGAGCAGTCGTGTCTGCGTAAGAAACAGTTGCGACAAGCATGCTAGGTTTTCATAACCTGCGGCCTGTCCTGCACCGAGTGCAAGGACCGGTGCCTGTTGGATTCATTCTGTGACATCCAGAATGTTTGCTCTGGCCAGGGACTACCTCTGGCCCCTGCCCTCCTGCTCCTCCTCCACAGGAGGGAATGAAGAGCCACAGCTCCTGTGCACAGTTTGCATAGCCTTTCTCGCCGCCCTGTTCCACTCTGCGCATTCACACATGATATCCCAAAACAGTTAAGTCAAATGAGGGATATTATATCTGTCACACATGAGAAAACTGCAGTTATGGATTCGCTTAATGCATTCATTGCTTTTTGGACTCTGGAATCCCCAGGGCAGTGCCACAAATCTACGTGTTGGCCCCCAGTTCTGAAATCTGTGTGGACTCTCCAGCGAAGCCAGCGTGTGTATCAAAGGTTCATTATTATTGTTGTTAATTTTTTTTATTTTTATAGCGCCAATGAATTGGCCTTAACTCATGGTAACAGTAGGGGCTGCCCTGGCCAAGTCCATTACAGCCGTCTATTGTTGTAATAGCTGGCTCCCGGCTGCACGATGAGCATCAAGGCGCTGCCTTCTGAATTAATACGTAAGCATCGGTGACATAGCCAACCCGTAGCAGAGAGCCTAGAGTCGTAGCTTCTGTATGAAGTTTTCTTTGAGAAATCCACTCCTCCTGCTATTTCCAAATTGTAGTTTAAAATGCATCCTCTGAGTCCTGGGCTCTTTTAATGGTGGAAATGAAGCTAGTGGCCATTCATTCCTGCCGACATTGGCTGTCCGCGGCCTTGGCCGTGATACAGGTTGTGCTGAGCATGCTGTCCTTTCTCACTGATTCTGAGTGAGGATCGGTCTTTGATTTACAGACATGGGCTCTGTTTGGAGGAGCTGGGAACTGTTTGTAGCTTCCTGTGTGATGCCAAGCACAACGCCTTTGTTCAGACAACTGCCTGGTCTGGAGGGCAGGACCAGGCTTGTCCAGCAGCTTCTGTGGTTGCCTGGACCCCCACACCTGTGAGCCTAGGTGTCTGCCCCATAGGAAGCACCCAACTATGGTTAGCTGTTGTTGCTGGTATCATCACGTGCCACTATTACTACTGACCTTCCTCTCGCTGTGGAAGCAGTAAAAAGGGAGGTGGGCATTTGGAGCAGCAGTTAAAAACACCATTCGGATGCCTGCAACCCATGTTAGAGTGCATGGCTCAGGTCCTGGCTGTCCAATCGATTCACCTGCTGGTGTGCACCCTGGGAGATATCCACGATATGGCTCAAGTACTGGGTTCCTGCCACCAATGAGGGAAACCTGGATTGAGTTGCAAAACTTTTGACTTTGGCCTGGCTTAAGACCTGGCCTGTTGTAGGCATTTGGAAGTGAACCAGTAGATAG